AAGACACAGCCAGAGGGGGTTTTCAAAATGTTGCCGTTTTGAAAACGCACCTTTCTGGCGAAGACCCTTCAGTGGCACCCACTGCCTTCAGCATCAAGGTCATAATTTCATGTCCTGGCAGTCGAGGCGCTTTCCAGCTGAGCTGGGCCATTTGCAACCCCAGTCACCCTGTCCGTGGCCTTTGTCCCAAGCCACCCCTGTCCACCACAGCAACGCTTCCACTGTAAGAAGCAGGGAGTGCCATTGCACTGGGGCGCCTTTCCCAATCCTGCTCTTGGTGGCTCTTCAACTCCTTTTGACAACCACTGGGCACCTGCTTTGTGGCAGGTGCTGGGGATGATCAGATGTCCTGGGCTGGTGACAGCACTCGGTCAAGGGCAGGCAGAGCCCTGAAGTCAGGAGAGCTCCAGGCTCCTTAGCCAGGTGCCGCCCCCACCCTTCCACCCACTCCCTGTACCTGCCCTCTCCCGTTCCTCACACCTGCACCTGTGACTCACCTGTATATATTCAAACCTGTCCTGGGGATTGGCCCAGTGCCAGGCCAGGCTGCAGCCAGCAACAGTCTAGACGGTGGCCAATGCCCTACAGCTCTCCTAACAAGTCCCCTTAACACAGCCTCTGATGGGCCGAAAGGGACTGAGAACTAGGTGGTCTTCAAAAAATTATTCTTGAAACATACTACTCGTGCAGGACACCAGGATCCACATAGAGTGCTGGACACAAACACCAATCCTCAAGGAAACCACAGATTGGCAGGGAGAGAAACAGGTATGGCAGCAACCAGTTTACAGGGACGCCTTGGGTGCCAAGCTCTGTGCTAGGGGCTATACCCATGTTGTTGATTGCATCTTACCCTCACAACACCCCAGAGGCGTACACATTGTTAGCATCCCCAGCTTACGGAGGAAAAAGCTCAGTGAGTAGGTCATGCAGGAGGGATCCACTCCCTGGCACCAACAGCTGCTAGCTGTCGGGAGTGAACAGTGCTGGGACAGGGCACCCTCTGGTAGCAGAAACCAGCCCTGGCTGGAGGAGGTAGAGGCAGCTACACCAAAAAGAGGAACAATGCCAGGCCTTGGGACCTGCAAAATGGCAGACAGGGTGCAAGGACGAGCCCAGTGCGAGGGGATGGGTGAGCCAGTCCTCAAAAGGTGGGGAGACTGAGCCCCGATAGCTTCTGGAACTCCCTAGGAGGAACCTAGAGAATGTTAACTCATGGGGTGGAAAGGCGGCCTGAGAAAACGCTACTGCGAAGGGGAAGGAAAAGCTGCTGGTGTGTACTCTGGAAAGGAATCTGGCTCAGGGATGGTGGCAACCCAGGGGGAAAGCCCAGCTCTGTCCACAAGAGGGCTCCTGGCAGCAGGCAATGAAGTCACCTGAGGAGTGGGGACGGTCAGTCGCTGGTTCCTCCAAGCCTCTTTGGGAGGAAGGCTAAGAGGAGGACATGCCTAATCGTGACCCTGACCCTGAAATACCAGCAGTCAGAAAGAAGCAGAGATGGGCAAGAGACATGACTGCTTCCCAAGATCCTGCCTCCACCTCAGGACAGTCCCCTTTCTGCTGAGAAACACCAGTCAGCAGGCTCCTGGATGCTGCCCTTGGTAACACATGAGAAGGCTTTCCCCTCCTAACCTTCCAGAGGGACAGATCTCTCATAGTTCCCAATTCTTTTTTTTTTTTTTTTTTTTTTTGAGACGGAGTCTCGCTCTGTCGCCCAGCCTGGAGTGCAGTGGCGCGATCTCAGCTCACTGCAAGCTCCGCCTCCCAGGTTTACGCCATTCTCCTGCCTCAGCCTCCCGAGTAGCTGGGACTACAGGCGCCCACCACCACACCTGGCTAATTTTTTGTATTTTTAGTAGAGATGGGGTTTCACCGTGTTAGCCAGGATTGTCTTGATCTCCTGACCTCGTGATCCGTCCGCCTCGGCCTCCCAAAGTGCTGGGATTACAGGTATAAGCCACCACGCCCGGCCTCTCTTGTCTCTCTGACAAAGGTAACGCACCACTAATTTTCTTTTTCAGGTTGGTGTAATCTATTGTTGAATAATGCATTATTTCAATGATTGTCATTTCCAGAATTCTATTTTCAAATCTGCCTAGTCATTTTCAGACTCTTTTTGCTCTTTTTCAGTGCCATCTTTAGAGGTTTCATATTTTGTTTTCTGTTTCTGGTGCCCCCCCCCCTTTTTTTTTTGAGTCTCTCTGTCGCCCAGGCTGGAGTGCAGTGGCACGATCTTGGCTCACTGCAACCTCCGCCTCCCAGGTTCAAGGATTCTCCTGCCTCAGCCTCCTGAGTAGCTGGGATTACAGGCGTGTGCCACCATGCTTGGCTAATTTTTGTATTTTTAGTAGAGATGTGTTTCACCATGTTGGTCAGGCTGGTTTCAAACTCCTGACCTTGTGATCTGCCTGCCTCAGCCTCCCAAAGTGCTGAGATTACAGGCGTGAGCTGCTGTGCCCAGCCTGTATCTGGTGATTGTAATATCTGAAGTCCCAGGGGTCTAAATCAATTATTGTTCCTGATGACTTTGCTAACGATGGCTCATTTCCTTGAAGGTTCAGTGTCATTTCCGGACAGCTTATTTTTTTTTTTTTTTGAGACGGAGTCTTGCTCTGTCGCCCAGGCTGGAGTGCAGTGGCCGGATCTCAGCTCACTGCAAGCTCCGCCTCCCGGGTTCCCGCCATTCTCCTGCCTCAGCCCTCCCGAGTAGCTGGGACTACAGGCGCCGCCACTGCGCCCGGCTAGTTTTTTGTATGTTTTAGTAGAGACGGGGTTTCACCGTGTTAGCCAGGATGGTCTCGATCTCCTGACCTCGTGATCCGCCCGTCTCGGCCTCCCAAAGTGCTGGGATTACAGGCTTGAGCCACCGCGCCCGGCCCCGGACAGCTTATAATTGGTTGACACACAATATTGATCCTGAAGGTCCTTAATTATCTTAATTTCTCAGCACCAGGATTCCCTGACTTTCCTTCAGTATAAATCTGACATGCGCAGCCAAGTTTTTAATTTTTGTTGAGACGGGGGTCTCACTATGTTGCCCAGGTTGGTCTCAAACTCCTGGGCTCAGGTGATCTCAGCCTCCCAAAGTTCTGGGATTATAGGTGTGAGCCACCATGCCCGTCCCAGTTCTTTTTTCCTTTTTCTCAAGCAGGGACAGAGCTGTTTCTAATTCAGTTTCCACTGCAGGTGGGCAGATCTTCCCTGCTGCCTTTTCACGGTGCCAAAGGTACTGAGCTATCTGCCTTTGGGGAAAGGCCCCAGTTTTGTTTCTGCACTTTGTATATGCTCAAAACCAAGTCTCACATTGTGCCTAGAGGCAGTCTCCCTCCAACTCCTGAGTTCTTGGAACGTCCTATCTGTGACCTCAGCAATGCAGTTAAAAGTACATTCATTATAATTTATCTGGCATCTGGGTGTTTTGCAGTCACGAAAAGATTTTCAGCCTGCCATTTCTATGGCACATTCCCTTTCCGCCAACATAGTGCTCTTGTGCAGGGCTGACAGTCCCATGGCTGAGATCTTGTCATTGTTCTAGGTGGGCAGATTGCAGTGCAGCCCAGAAAGGTTTGCAGTTGGCACCACCTGCATTAAAGATCATACAGCCAAGCCCTAGGCCACAGGCCAGCCTTTCTCCCTGTTTCCAGACCTAGTAACCAGTCCGTCTCCCCTTGCATTCTAGGGGACTGTGAAGCTGGTGGTGGCAACGAGCCTCTTGGGCAAGGCTGTTCAGGAGAGGCGGGTCTCAGGGAGAGAGCACAGATGGGTATTCAAGTGACAGAACTGAGGCCTCAGCTCACCGGCTGGTAAACCAGACTGGCAGCCTGAAATTCCACACAAAGGTGTGCCTGCACCAGCCTTTGGGCCACAGAAAGTACCACCCAGGGGCTGCTGGAGGCAATGCAAGCTGTTGGGCTTTTAGGGAGAGTAGTTTGTACAGATTTCAAGGATCCAAGAAATGTTCAGTATCAAAAATTCCATTTTGGAAAATTATCCTAAGGAAATAAATAATGCAAAGGAAGAGAACGCATAGATGTATGCTGCACCAGAAAACGCGAAAGCGATCCAATTGCCCAACAGGAGGTGAAGAGTTAAAAAAAATTATGGCCTCAATTAAATGATGCAACCATTAAGCAAATAAATTGGAAGGCAACAGTAAAATTATCTGTGATTTAACATCAGTGTCATAAGGACATAAGTGAATATTGACAAGTCTAGGTCTGTTGACATTTGTGTTAAAATTTTACAAGAAAATACATAAGTTACTAGAAAATATATCCACAAGTCCACCACCCTGTTCAGGCAGGACAGATGGTCAGACTCTCTGTGGTTCATTTTTCCTTATTACAAGATAACTTGGCCGGGTGCAGTGGCTCATGCCTGTAATCCCAGGACTTTGACGGGGGTGAGGCAGGCAGATCACTTGAGCCCAGGAGTTTGAGACCAGCCTGGGCAACATGGTGAAACCCTGTCTCTACAGAAAATACAAAAAATCAGCCAGGCGTGGTGGCCCATGCCTGTAGTTCCAGTTACTTAGGAGGCTGAGGTGGGAGGATTGCCTGAGTCTGGGAGGTGGAGGCTGCATTGAGCTGTAATTGCGCCACTGCACTCCGGGCTGGGCAACAGAGACCCTGCCCGCCCCCGCCCCCAAAAACAAAACAAAAAAAACACTTGAGAGAGAAGTAATGGGGAGTATCTGGAAGCTGTTGTTGGCCCCTGACCATAAGGCCCACTGGTGGGCTCCAGTAGCCAGCCTGGTTGGGCCTGGTCCCCACAGGGCACTGACCAGTTGGTGCAGCTGGTTTTCCAGAGAGGCCAGCTCCAGGCACATGGGGTGCAGGCACCCCCTGCTTCATGCCCTTGGGCACTCTTCAGGCCATGACTAGAACCAGTTGGGGCCCCTCTCTCTCCCTTCTTCAAGGACTTGGGAATAAGGGTGAGGGGACACCTCCTAGTGTAGGGACCACCTTTCCTCCTGGTCCCATTCCAGCTTGAGGCAGAAAAGGAATATAGCCTTTTTATTGACTACTTTAAGTAGAACAAACTAAATACATATTTAACAGTTTTGGTTCATTTATACAGTACATTAAATAAGTTATGCACAGAGTTAGGTAACAAAAGTTCCTATCAGAGTAAAATGACAAAGCACAGAAAAACCAGACTCTAACGCATTCTGTGGGTGGTTTCACATTCATCATCCCCCTTAAAAATCACGTGTGGAGGCTTCGTTCTTAATTTATTTACACTATTGGCTTTCTTTTATGAGTGGAGCCTTTGTAGCCTCATCAGGAACTTGGAAAGCCACGTAAGGGGACTGAGGGCCTCTCGGCCCAGCAGTCCTTTCAATCATTCGCCTAATGCTTATTGCTGCTTCTCTGCAATTCTCCAAGGTAGGGATGGGGCTGTCCCCAACAGACACCAGCACACATGCCCTATTTGGTATAAGCATCACTGAGTGTACACTGGGCAGCCGTAGGCTCGACCAGATGGGATCTGTGAGGGAAGCTCCACCTCAGGGGCTATGGAGGGGGAGGAGGGGACGCAACGCCTGCCCCTCAGGCCTCCTAACCTTCTCCTGGCTCACGATGGAAAAGGTCACCTGCACCATCATCTTTGGAAATGAGCACGTCGATGCCCGAAGAAAGAGGCAGGTAGTCAATGTTTTGGTTTCACAAGAACTATAGACACTCCAGAGTTGGAAGGGCCCTGCGGAGCTGCTGGCACAGCCCCCACTGCAGTCTGGGCAGGGCTGCTCTCGACAGTTGGCCATGTGGCCCGAGCTGGAACAGTGCATGCTCTGCTGGCTCTTCTTCCATTTGGTTCAGACATGCTACCACCCAGTTTTCTGCAAACAGCTTTAAAAAGAAAAAAAATCTAAGGAAGTTAGTTTGGTCTACTGACCTGGGAGCCTGGAAAACTTACTTCTAGTTCACTTCTGAAGAAAACCTCCACGAAGCGTTCTATTTTCAGTGATTTATTCAACTCTTCAGTTTCCAGGACAGATGGCCATCCGGTCATTCTGTTTTCACTCTGAAGAGCTCACTACCATACAATTCCAGCTGTGCTGAACCTTCAAACGCACTTGCTGAGATATTCTCTAGAACTACCCAGGACGACATCTATACCCTTTGCAAGCAGGTGACAAGCCGAGGGTCACTAACTCTGGGACAGGGCTGTACAAAGTAAAGAGTTGATTTTGTCTGGAAGCTGAAGATGTCAAGTTGACACCAAGCAGTGATGATGAACTCCTGGTGACCTTCTGGCCCAAATGGGCAAAGGAAGTCCACGTTGCAGAGAGCGGGCAGCAGCCAAGGCCAGGTGTGGACTTGTGGTGGGAAGATGTGTCCTGTTTCCAGACAGACCCACTGGCAGACATTTCTAACCCAGCACTGCCCTAGAAATAATCTACCCAATCGGTGACCCCCCCAGTCACCCAACCGTGCCTGAGTGGATCTGCTAGAGCACCAGCCCTGGGGCTGCAGGCCCCCCAGGGTGGAGTGCCCCCACCTCCCGAGGTGGACTGCCTAGGCCTGGGCTTAAACAACTTCTTGAGTCACCTTCCCCACAAGATGGGAGTCAGGCAAGGTGCAGGCAGGTGGGGACAAAAAGGACAATCAGAGATGTGAAACCCAGCCCTCAAGAAACTCTTGGGACATGTGGCATCTTTGGTTCCTGCAGTCATTCCTCACTTGGCAGATCATTATGTCCCACAACTCATCAGCGTCCTTTGGCAGGTGGTGCTGAGCACTGGTCTCACCCTAGACATGTCTGGCTGATGGCCAGTCACATGTTGCATCTGCTTTTTGGTTTCTAGGTTTCTGAGGAGCCTGTGCTTGACTGATACCTTCTGTACCACCATGCCAGCCCCTCTTTGCCTTTTATGTCACTGCAAATATTAACTGTAGAGGTCAGTCCTCTAAGCAGCCTGAATTTCCACTCCCCACCTGGTAGCTGAGGTGCTGTCAGCAGAGGCTGGAAACCACACAAGGAACCTGGATTCGCTCCTGCCCCTCTAGCCGCTGCCCACCCTACCCCACTGGTGCTCCTCCTCCTGACCAGAGACTTGGATAATTTCAGAAAGGGATTCTTGAAATGTGAATAGGAGGTCCTGGGCAGAGGCCCTCGTGACTTCTGTGTGAAACTGACCAGAATTAACACAGCAAAAGGTCTGCAAACTGAGCTTCAGTGTGGAATACTGCGCAGGTTTGCAGATCAGCCTCTGGGCAGCACATGGAAAAGCATTACAAAGATTCAGAAAACGAAACTGTCACAGGAACCACAGCCCATAAAAGTAGGCCAGGTTCTGCACACCAAACCTAAGCCTTAGCCATAGAAATGGGCATTGAGCCCTAATAAATATTATTTTGTTGGTTTTGGCTCCTTATTCCAACCAGTAAAAGCATGAGCTACCCTGTCTTGTTTTATGGCCACTGGAGATTTTAAAAACCTGCTTAAGGCCGGACACAGTGGCTCATGCCTGTAATCCTGGCACTTTGGGAGGCCGAGACGGGCAGATCACCTGAGGTCGGGAGTTTGAGACCAGCCTGACCAACATGGAGAAACCCCGTCTCTACTAAAAATACAAAATTAGCTGGGCGTGGTGGCGGGTGCCTGTAATCCCAGCTACTCGGGAGGCTGAGGCAGGAGACTCGCTTGAACCTGGGAGGCAGAGGTTGAAGTGAGCTGAGATCGTGCCATTGCACTCCAGCCTGGGCGACAAGAGAGAAACTCCATCTCAAAACAAACAAAACAATGAAAACAAAACCTGCTTACATTGTTAATCCAACAAATCCATGAAAAACCAGTAAGCTGGCGTACAGGCTCTGTGACTTCCTTGTGAGACAGCTGTGTCTCATGCAAATGTGGCCCTCTCCGGGGTACTGACTCCAACCCCCTTAGTCAGGGTTCCCCACTAAGGACTGAGGCTTAAGGAGACAGATGGGGGTGGGGGATACCCATGTATTAGGCTGACTGGAAAACTGTGGGGCTTATGTGTTCCACAGCAAAGGAACATGATTCCCTGCTGTTCTTCCCCTGGCCACACCTTACTTTAGGCAATGGAAATCTAGGCATTTTAAAGGTATCGTGCACTAGGTTTCTTTGTAAGACTGAAAATGTTTGGTTAGAGTGAATTAGGGACTTGAAATTCTCAAATTTTGCTTTTTTTTTTTTCTCTTTCTGAGACGGAGTCTTGCTGTATTGCCCAGGCTAGAGTACAGTGGCGGAATCTCGGCTCATCACAACCTCTGGCTTGTGGGTTCAAGTGCTTCTCCTGTCTCAGCCTCCTGAGTAGCTAGGATTATAGTTGAGTGCCACCATGCCCGGCTAATTTTTGTATTTTTTTAAGTAGAGACAGGGTTTCACTATGTTGGCCAGGCTGGTCTTGAACTCCTGACCTCAAGTGATCTGCCTGCCTCGGTCTCCAAAAGTGCTGGGATTACAGAAGTAAGCCACTGAGCCCGGCCAGCACTTGAAATTCTAAAGTAAGATGTACCTGTAGGCAAGGACAAGGCTACCTGTGTGGATCCCTTTTCCTTTATGGTACTGACAGCTTTTATTTTAGACTCTGGTCAGTGCACAGAAGATGGAGATTTAAACTTGTGCTTCAAAGGCCAGCTGGAGCAGGGCCAATCAGACTTACTCCAACTGATTTCTGGGTATGAGAGGATGCTAGAAGCTCAAAGATGGAGAGCCGGAGGAGTCGGGGTCCTCAGACTCCCATCAAAACCAAAAGGACAAGCCAGGTGTGGTGGCTCACGCTTGTAATCCCTGTACTTTGGGAGGCCAAGGCAGGTGGATCACTTGAAGTCAGGAGTTCAAGATCAGCCTGGCCAATATGGTGAAACCCTGTCTCTACTAAAAATACAAAAATTAGCTGGGCATGGTGGGTGGTGGGCGCCTGTAATCCCAGCTACTCGGGAGGCTGAAGCAGGAGAATTGCTTGAACCTGGAAGGCAGAAGTTGCAGTGAGCCAAGTTCATGCCACTGCACTCCAGCCTGGCTGACAGAGCGAGACTTTGTGTTAAAAAACAACAATAACAACAACAAACAAAACCCAAAAAGACAGGGAAGAATGTGGGAGGCAGTTCCTAACATTCTGAAAGGGATATAGGTGATGTACCATTTGAAAATGGGAAGCTAGGAAGAAAAATTGATCAACTTTTCCCAAAATGGTTCTCACATCTCATAAAACCTTTCTGATGAGCTCAAGGAGAGAAGCTATCAGATAACACAAGAGAAGGAAACAGAAGTTGTGTGCCTGATGATAAATCAACATAGTAGATATAATGACCTGTAACTATGAGGTCCGAAGAATTCTTTGAGGTCCAGGAGGGCTTTTCAGACAAGACCAGGCCTTGACAGTGGGGGCAAGTCCTACCAACCTGCCACAGCACGTCCAGCAGGACAACTGTGGCTCAGCAGGTGCCAAATAGAGCCCATGGGCAGAAGATGCCCACAGCATTCCAGATGTGTGTGGTCTGAGAGATAAAAGGACACAGAACAAGACGACTGTGCAAACAGCCAAGTGGTGGCAGAAGTCCTGCATTTCCAAGAGATGATCCACTCAATAATTTGACGATACTAGTTTGGCCAACATGCTCAGAGAGAACAGACTATCCACAACTGAGTCTCATTCTCTCTCAGACCAATCCATGTGCTGGAAACTATTTTCTGCACAAGCAAAATCAAATGAGAAAAAAAACGGGTCCCAAACTAAAGTAGCCAGCAAGGTTGGAAAATCTTGTCCAAAATCACCTGTGATGTGGAGGAAGTTTTATTTGTTTATGTTTTTGCTACTACGGGTGCTTTTACTGCAACAGTGACTTCTTTCCTGTGGACTCTGAGATCTTAACAAGTCTGAACAGCAAGGTTGAGAAGAGAGTCCTGAGTGCCGCCTGTTGCTTACCCAAGTCCCCGTGAGGCCAATCAGTGTCATCTGCTGAGGGTGGAGATGAGGCCGAAAGAGCTGTTCAGGGGTGAGGCAGGCTGCTCCCTGTTCAAGGGTGAGGCAGGCAGCTCCCTGTCCGAGGGGCCTCCTCCATAGCCTGCTGCCTGCTGCCTCCAGCCTGGCTGAGCACATTGGACAGTCTGCTGACTCAAGGAGACGGGGAGGGGAGCTGGTGGTCTACACTGAAAAGGGGCTGGCTAAGTCAGCTTCAGTGGGGAGGAACAAACCAGGAAAGCCATGGAGGAGGCAGGCTGGGCCGGCTGCCCACGTGCAGAGAATGGCACACTGGCTCTGCAGACAGCAAGTGTCCAGAGAGGCTGTGGGGCACTATTATTCAGGCTTGGACTCTTCCTGCCTCCAATTCATTTCTTGTTAATGACCCAGTAGAGCTACATGCACGGGTTCCAACAGCCAGTCCCACAGCCCAAGCACTCTGTGGTGCTGAGCAGCCATCAGGGTAAGTAGAGTCCGGGGCTCAGAGTCCGTTGGTGTCGATAGCTGTCACGGAAGCAGGTGTGGAGGAACGCGATGTGGTTGCCGAGGTCTTGTCGAGGGCTGGGCTGGGCACGCTGCAGTCGGCAGACCTGGCAGAGGAGCCCCTGCCTACAGGAAGCAGCGGCCGACCCTGGCTGTGGGGACTCTGGCCATGCAGGTTCTGACCACAGAGGCGGTGGTGCCGCTCCCAGTCCTTGTGCTGGCAGAAAGAGCCGCAGTATCGCGCGATATTGCAGCCACTGCACGTCTCGCTGGCTTTGCGGCCACAGTTCCAGCAGTTCTGCAAGACACAGGCATCAGTTAGTGGTTGCTGGGATCGAGGGGCAGGCTTGCCATTCATTCCCTGCACAGTAAAGCAAGGGGCTGCATGTAGAGAAGCCCAGCTATGGAGCTACATACACCTGTGGTCAAGTCCTCCCTCTACTGCTGTTTATGAGAAATACACACTGCCTTTCTGAGTTTCCTTCCCCTGTAAAACAAGAAAACTACTTCCCTGCAGGATGACAGAACAGTGAAATGAGGAGTGTGTGTGAAAATACTTTACACAGCACCAGCCTAGGGCAGGTGGCCATCTCTTCTGCTTAAGGCATGGACTCATCTTTTGACTCACATTTTAATAGAAACCAAGCCAAACTCTGTGCAAGAATATCCCCCAATCGCCATCTATCCTAAGACCACATGTGTTAAGACGAACATTTATCCTACTCCTTTCTGCATGTGCCACCATGCCTGGCTAATTTTCATAATTATACATATGTATATAGTAGAGATGGGGTTTTGCCATGTTGGCTAGGCTGGTCTTGAACTCCTGTGCTCAAGTGATCTGCCTGTCTCAGCCTCCCAAGGTGTTGGGATTACAAGCACCCGGCTGATATTGCTTCCCTCACTAGAGAAATAATCTTCATTGTTTTTACTAATAATCTGACTTAACCAAGGCTGCTGCTGCTGTTTTGTTTTTCTTTTTGGAGACAGGGTCTTGCTATGTTGCCCAGGCTGAGGCTCCAGGGATCCTCCCACACTCCTACCTTAGCCTCCTGAGTAGCTGGGACTATAGGCATGTGCCACCATGCCTGGCTGATTCTTTAATTTTTTGTAGAGACAGAGTCTCCTTATATTGCCCAGGCTGGTCTTGAACTCCCAGCCTCAAAGGACCCTCCCACCTTGGCCTCCTAAAAAGCTGGAATTACAGGCATGGGCCACTGTGCCTGTTCCCTAATAACTATCAGACCAATAGGATAGGAGCTGCTATACTCACTGAACAGAGATGCAGACTGACTCCTTCAAGGGTATACTGCCAGTGTGAGACAGAACTGGGACTAGAAGTCAGGGCTCCTAATCTCCAGTCGTGGCCTCCTTCCTCCCCCATACCAAACCACCTTTCATAAGATGAACAAGAAACTCCAGGGATACCTGCTAAATTTCAACAGGAATATTCTAGGTGAATATTCTTGATGGACAAGAATCAGCCATTTTGGTCCAATGCAAACTCATCCAAAGGATGGGCCCTCTATCCTTTCCCTGCTTTGGAAAGTGATTTTGCAGGGATACGTGCTGGTGTACACCTCACCTGGAGGCTACACTGTGGCTTGTTTAAAATTACAATTCCTTAAAAGCACAATTCTCAAAATGGAGAGCTAGGATTTAAACCTACGCGTCCAGATCCAGGATCTATGCTCTAAGCCAAAAGCTATACTCTTTCTTTGGAGACAGACATAGTTAAAGATAAACACAGAGATAAAAGTAGATAGATAAGGACAAATACAGATACTGATATGGATGGCTACAGATACACAATTAAACATACAGAACAGAAACAGATATATCACTCTCAAAAACAATTCTCTTTTCTTTCCCCCTCATCTTGCCATCATCATCATCTATTTTCTTTTTTTTTAAAGAGATGGGGTCTTGCTGTCCCACCCAGGCTAGAGTGCAGTGTTACGATCATGGTCAGGCTTGAACCTCCTGGGCTCAAGCGATCCTCCTGCCTCAGCCTCCAAAGTAACTACTGGACTACAGGTGCATGACACCATGCCTAGCTAATTTTTAAATTTTTTTTTCCCCCAGAAATGGTGTCTCACCATCTAGCCCAAGCTGGTCTTGAACTCCTGAGCTCAAGTGTTCATACTACCTTGGCCTTCCAAAGTGCTGAGATTACAGGCATTGGCCACTGCGCCCAGCCTCAAAAACAATTCTAAAGAAAAAGGAGGAGAGGCTGGATGTGGTGGCTCATGCTTGTAATCCCAGCTCTTAGGGAGGCAGAGGCAGGAGGATAGCTTGAACCCAGGAGTTCGAGACCTGCCTGGGCAATATAGCGAGACCCTGTTCTCCACAAAAAAAAAAAAAAAAAAAAAAAAAAAAAAGGAGGAGGAGAGAATGAAAAGGGAGAGGGATTAAAGAAACTATTTTCTCACAATCCATAGTATCTGTATTGAAGAGCTATAATAAGGAATTTCACCACATCCTCTGTGATAGCAATATGATATTTAGGCATTTTCATCTGCACATTGGTCAAGGTGGGTGAATCACTTGAGGCTAGGAGTTCGAGATTAGCCTTGCCAACATGGCAAAAACCCATCTCTACTAAAAATACAAACATTAGCCAGGAGTGTTGGCACGCACCTGTAGTCCAAGCTACTTGGGAGGCTGAGGTGGGAGAATCGCTTGAACCTGGAGGTGGAGGCTGCAGTGAGCTGAGACTGCACCATTGCACTCCAGCCTCGGTGACAGAGAGAGTGCTGAACTTCAAGAGAATGTCCCAAAGACAGCTGGTCTCCCATCCAGTAGATGAGATCTACCTACTTACAGAAAGAAACTGGTTTCTTGTTTTAAAGCTGAAAAATGACTGAAATGAAAGTTACAGAAAAACTGCATTAAATCCAAAAGGGCTGCTCTCATGTTGTCACAGGTTGTTTACTTTTTCAGTTTGTTCATTTTTCTCCTTACTGTAGTACCCAAGCGTCCTATATAGAACCATCACCAAGTCCTGGGCCCTGGGCAATCAGGTAGATATATCCAACCTGTTACTTCAGTCCACAAACCAGCTATCCTTTTTGTAAAAAGTCTAGGTGCTATAGGACCCTGTACTTTCTTACTCCTGAATCCTGACTTCAGCACCAAGGAGTATAACAGTTGCATTCCCTGAGCCACAGTCTCCTCATGTGCAAATTAGGGATTCAATGTTACCCACCTCACAGGGCCACTGTGAGACTCAAAAAGAAAATATACAACTTTGCTGGTGTCTGGCACACAGTAAGCCTACTCTGTCAATGCTGGTCATTATCATCATCATGCAATTACACAAACTCTGTCTTTAGGGTGAATTCTCAAAATTTAAACCAATACATGGAGCCTCTCTCTCTATATATATGTGTATGTATGTAAAAATACAATGTAACAATTCACTATCTTGGCATGTAAAAAAGTTTTAGCGTGAGAACTCTTCTGGCACTGGATAAAAATTATCCTCATTGAGCTCAAGAGTGGACTGCCTGTGTCTTCCTGCCCAGTGTATGAGAGGAAGGCAGTGGGCGTGGTCACTCCAGCCACCCACCCCGGCCCCCAGGGCGCAGAACTCTGACCTCCGTGGACTCCTCTTGCTCGTTGATGACGAGGAAAGCGTCCTCCGCGGCCTGCCGCTTGACGTCCGCTATGGTTTGCTCCATTCGTGCTCTCTCTGTTGCAATCACTTCAAAGGCTTTCTGCTCTGCCTCAGCGACAGCCTTCTGTACTTCTGACATGGCCTGAATTTTCACCTTATTCACAGCTTCTTCTAGAAGAAAGTGACAGTAAAATCAACTGGCCGAGAAATCTTTTCCCTCCCACCCCACTGCAATTCTAAGTAAGGACAGAGCTGACACAAAATGATCTTTTCTAAAACTCCACAGGGAGGAACACATGATCTTCACACTCATGTGCCCATCACACAGGTGCTGGCTGGTACGGAGATGGAGGTGGGCACTGAGCTAGGGCTGTGGACACAAGTGACTAGACACAGACCACACTCTCCTGACTGCTTGTGACCAAGTATGAAAGTGTTTCAGGTGCCATCGTGTATGTCACTATAAGAAACTAGAGTTCCAAGGAGAAAAGTGATCAGCTCTTCAGTGGGCAGGGGAAATCAAGACAACGTGTTGTGCTTGAGATGGTAGATGGAAATGAGTTTTTGCAAAGTCTTGCATGCCAAACTAAGAAATTTGACCTTTTCTTTTTTTCTGAGACAGGGCCTTGCTCTGTTGCCCAGGCTGGAGTGCACTGGTACAGACACAGCACACTGCAGCCTTGACCTCTCTGAATCATGATCCTCCCACCTCAGCCTTCTGAGGAGCTAGGACTGCAGGCGTGTCCCAACACACTCGGCTAATTTTTTAAATTTTTTTTGTAGAGACGATGTCTTACTATGTTGCTGAGGCTTGTCTCAAATTCCTGGGCTCAAGTGATCCTCCTACTTCAGCCTCCCAAAGTGCTGGTGTTAAAGTGTTACACGGGTGAGACACCACTCCCCGCTTGACTTTATTTTCATTTTTTTTTTTTGAGACGGAGTCTCACTCTGTCGCCCAGGCTGCAATGCAGTGGCGCTATCTCAGCTCACTGCAAGCTCCGCCTCCCAGGTTCATGCCATTCTCCTGCCTCAGCCTCCCGAGTAGCTGGGACTACAGGTGCCCACCACCACGCCCGGCTAATTTTTTTTGTATTTTTAGTAGAGACGGGGTTTCACTGTGTTAGCCAGGATGGTCTCAATCTCCTGACCTTGTGATCCGCTTGCCTTGGCCTCCCAAAGTGCTGTGATTACAGGCATGAACCACCATGCCCGGCTGGCTTGACCCTATTTTCAAAGGAAACTCCATAAAGGTTTCTAGGCAAGGGGAAGAATAAAGACAGAGATAGCAACTGGGAGACTGGTGCAATGATTGAACTGATATAAGAGGCTGAATTTAGGCAGAAGTAAGTGGCACTGAGGAAGGGATGAGACAGAAAAAGGTTGGGAGCACCGAAGGGCCTGGAAGTGGAGGTGAAAGAGAAGAATGGTAGTGCTAGGCAATGAAATGGACAGTCCACACAAAGCTAGCATGGAGGCAAGTGAAAAGGCAGAGGTGCCTCTGGGGCATCCAGGTATAAATGGCCAGGAGGCAATTAAATAAATAAGACTAGGTGGAGAAACATGGGCTAAAGACATAGATTTGGGCAGATGGCCAAAAGCCTTGGGTTTTTAAACGCTGTCCACTTACCATCATGCTACCTGGTTCTTGATCACTTCCTCCCATCACCAATGCCCTGCTTGATTTCCCTAGTGTAGACACCGCAAAGTAACACATTGCATGTGTTTGAGCCTCAGTCCTATGAGAATGTGAATGTGGAGTCCCAATATACATAGCTCCCTACATAAGTCCACAGGACCAAACAATCCAGAAGCCTAGGAACAGTCACTCACAGTTTACCTCTTGCACATGGCACGGGCTCAAGGAAGGTTCAAACACAGAGTTCGAGGCTGCAATGAAACAACTTTCCATCATCTTATGGCTCTGGCCTTAAGAAAAGAAAGTCTTTACCCCAGAGGCCAAGAACCTTTCAAAAGTCTCTTATCAGATGCCTCTTATTGAGCCAGCGTAACAATGCTCTCAGGTACATTTTATCCCCTCAGCTTAACCATGAATTAGTAATATCTTGGTTTGGCTAGCTATCTTACTGGAGGTCATCTAAGGTCACAGATGACACTATAGCAGAGCAAGGACTCAAATCGAGCTGTCCCAACACCAAAGTTGGGCTCTTAACCATAGTTAACCAAAGGTGTCTCCCAAGTAATCAAAGTCACTAGTTTTAAAGATACCTTTAAATGTGGCCGGGCACATTACAGGCTCATGCCTGTAATCCTAGCACTTTGGGAGGCCAAGGCAGGTGGATCACCTGAAGTCAGGAGTTTGAAACCAGCCTGGCCAATATGGTGAAACCCCATCTCTACTAAAAATACAAAAATTAGTCGGGCATCATGGTCGAGCGGGCCTGTAATCCCAGGTACTTGGAAGGCTAAGGCAGAAGAGTTCCTTGACCCTGAGAAGTGGAGACTGCAGTGAGCTGAGATTGTGCCACTGCACTCCAGCCTGGGCAACAGAGCAAGACTCCATCTCAAAAACAAACAAACAAACAAGGCCAGGTGCAGTAGCTCACGCCTGTAATCCCAGCATTTTGGGAGGCTGAGGCAGGTGGATCAGCTGAGGTCAGGAGTTACAGACCAGCCTCAACATGGAGAAACCCCATCCCCACTAAAAATACAAAATTAGCAGGGTGTGATGATGCATGCCTGTAATCCCAGCTACTCGGGAGGCTGAGGCAGTAGAACTGCTTGAACCTGGGAGGCGGAAGTTGCGGTGAGCCAAGATGGTGCCATTGCACTCCAGCCTGGGCAACAAGAATGAAATTCCATCTCAAAAAAAAAAAAAAAAAAAAAAAGACAGAGATCTTGTATACAGTAATTATTCTCTCACCTTATGATTATCTTCATTTCCCAAAATTCTATTCCACCTTTTATTAACATAATATATATTTTCCCATTTTCAACTGCAAGGATTTTTACAAATTAATATAGTTTTCCAAATTGTTTTTAATGGTGAAATAATACTTTATTGTACAGTGGCACAGGGGCTCACTGCAGCCTTAACTTCCCGTGGTCAAGCGATCCTTCCCCCTCAGCCCCCTAGGTAGCTGGGTCTGTCCACCCTGGCCTCCCAAAGTGCTGGGATTACAGGTGTGAGACACCCCACCCCACCCATACTGTTTCTTCTTTAATAATTTGTATAATTTGTATTTAAGTCTGGACCATTTGCTTTTGAAAGGAAACATTCAAAGGCATGAAAGTGAGAAATGTGGCTGGGCGCAGTGGCTCACACCTGTAATCCCAGCTCTTTGGGAGGTGAGGCGGGCGGAGAAACCCCGTCTATACCACAAATATAAAATTAGCCAGGCATGGTGGTGCATGCCTATAATCTCAGCTAGTGGGGAAGTTGGGAGGCTGAGGCAGAAGAATAGCTTGAACCAGGGAGGCGGAGGTTGCAGTGAGCTGAGATCATACCACTGCACTCCAGCCTGGGCAACAAGAGCAAAACTCCATCAAAAAAAAAAAAAAAAAAAAAAAGGAAAAGTAAGGAATGATTCCAAGAATCTGCAGGTACTCGCTTAATTTCTTATATAAGCCTCTGATCAATTATTGAGTGTCGTCAACAAGGTCTTTTAAAATTGTCAACAACGGAGGGTTAAAGACAAGAGGTTAATTTATCAGAGATGCTTTATCTTACATTATCCTGACTACTGATAAGGAAAAATATTTTGCAATATGTTTATTTGTATTTCTCATAGCATAATGTATCTGTTCATATCTTTTGTTTATTTGCTTACTACTGTCTAGATGCTCTTGAAAGAGTCTTTATGAATGTAGGTATAGCGTTTTTGTAGAAATAAATTTTATCTTAGTAAGAAAACCAAAGGTTGTATTGGACTTAAAAAATGAAACTGGGATGGGGAGGCAAGAAGGGAAAGAATGCCAATATTTGGATAAGGTTGACATTAGTGATGTGACGTTCATTCCCGAACTTACAAAATAGGCAGTCCCCACCATCCTTTATTCTTGTAAAAAAGAAGGCCTAGCAAGAACAGCCTTCACTATAGTAGGCACAGTGAAGGTGAAAGAAAGCACAGACGGATTACAGAGCTGTGCCTAGAGCAGAATTTGGGCACAAATGTGGCAATAGTGTGAACACAGTATACTGCAGACACCAGTGAAGAGATTAGGCAAAATGAACCCTGCTGCAGGCCCAGAAACAGGGCAAGTCAAGAGGTACTTATTGCCTCAGCGTGACCCAGTGGAAGAGTGTGAAAGGGACTGGAAGGAGCTATTCCAAACTCCTGACCAGCAAAGTAACAAGACAGGTATCAGGAGACATGCAGTACAAGCCAGAGTGGAAGAGGCAAGAGCCTAGAGCTCTACGAGGAGCAAGTTATTATACAACCAAAGGACCCGGTTACCAACCATTCGCCCAGTTATCTGTTCTCTGCTCCCACAAATTAGTGAGTCTGCATGACCTATGAGTAGTCAGACACATACCTGTTTTCTTCCAAAACTCCACAGGTACGTATCCTGTACCTGGCCTGCTGTTGAACTCTCTCTGAGAATCTGCACAAGAGACATAAAAAGCATAGGGTCAGAAGCTGTCTATGATCAGCAGTTTTATTTTTGATCAGATTTCTCATTCACCAGTTAGACTCAAACATTTATTTCATTTAGTATAAAAAATTCTCATATAAGGGCTAAAAATCGGATTATAAAATAGTACACAGTAAATATTTAGTTTTAAAACACACATCCCCATCAAATGAACAAATTAACAGTATTTCAAAGTGGTGAGATTAAAAGTGATATTCACTTTCTTCTTTTTACTTACCTATTATGTCCTAATTTTTTCCCCTATCAACATGGGTTTTTAAGGTACAGTACTCCCTAAAATACAAACATAAGTGCACACAGAATTTTTTTTTTTTTTTTTTTTTTTTGAGATGGAGTCTCACTCTGTCACCTAGGCTGGAGTGCAATAGTGCAATCTTGGCTCACTGCAACCTCTGCCTCCCAGGTTCAAGCAATTTTCCTACCTCAGTCTCCCGAGCAGTAGCTGGGAGTACAGGTGTACACCACCCAACCTGGCTATTCTTTTTGTATTTTTAGTTCAGTTGGGGTTTCACCATGTTGGCCATGGTCTCTTTCAAAATTTCTATGTGTTTCAAAAATTTCAAAATAAAACATTAGGAAACATTATCTTTAAATATGTACATAGAAAATTCTATAAGAATACATTAATTGTTAACCATTGAGCCTATGGAAAAATGTAGGGGGAGGAGAGGCAGCATTTTTACAAATTACTTTTTGTGTGTGTGACAGGATGTTGTTCTGTCCCCCAGGCTGGAGTGCAGTGATGCAGCTGATCATAGCTCACTGCAGCCTCGAACTCCTGGGCTCAGGTCATCCTGCGTCAGCCTCTCGAGTAGCTAGGACTTTAGGCATGTACCACCATGACCGCCTAATTTCCTTTCTAAATTTTTTGCACAGACAGGGTTTCACTATCTTAGGGTTTCCAGGCAGGTCTTGGATTCCTGGCCTCAAGCAATTTTCCTGTCTCAGTCTCCCAAAGAGCTAGGATTACAGTTGTAAGCCATTGTGCCAGGCTGCTATGTAATTACTTCCAATTCAATCTCAAATTCTCCTCCTGTTGTGTAAATCTTTTATAAATTTCATTCTTAAGGAAATCTCCAGCAAGGTTCGGGGCTGTTCCAGCATGGACTGGGTGCTTTCTAGGCCTGCTTTCCCACTAATGCTTGGGGCTCTCCTTCACCAGCCTAGGGATTCCTTTCCTTCCTTTCTTGTGTTGGATCCTCTTTCAGCAATTCAGTGTCTCCCATTTTCTCGTTTACTTGCACGTATTGAGGCATATCCTATAGTAGATACCACGGAGAAAGGGTAGGCAGGAGGTGCATTTTTTGAAAAATTGTAGATTACTAATCTAACACATAATTGTTTTGGTAGAATTCTAAATTCAAATAATTTTCCTTCAGAATTGTCTTCTAACTTTCGATGATGCTAAATGACTATTTTCCTGTGTTGTCTACTTGGTAGACTGATTCAACCTGGAACTGTCTTGCAGGTCTTGGTAGTTTTTTGGAATTATTTCAAAAACTATTCCATCCTCTCTACTTGTTCTGCTCACTCTTTTTAAAATTCATGATTTGGATACATGAGTTGGGTAGATTTCTAATGTTCTTCTCTTTTTCTCACCAGAGATATTAACAATACTACATTATTGGCAGTTTTCTTTTCCCTGAAGAGCTACTATTAATTTGCATTTCTGTTTATGTCCATCTCCAATATTAGAGGCTTACCTTGAGAGAGTGGTCACCCTTAACTGTGCACACATGCCACTAAAAAGCTGCCTGGAAGCCCTGTGACAGTGGATGAGGTCCATCTGCTGTGGACTTAACTAGAAGCACTTTTCCCAAATTTGCCTGCTTATTGAACCCATTAAACATATGTATTCAGATTCTTTTTTTTTTTTTTTTTTGGAGATAGGGTCTTGCTCTGTTGCCCAGGCTGGAGTGCAGTGGCATAATCTCAGCTCACTGCAAGTTCTGCCTCCTGGGCTCAAGTCATCCTCCAACCTCAGCCTCCCAAGTAGCTGGACTATAGGCACACACCACCACAATCAGCTAATTTTCATATTTTTTGTAGAGACAGGGTTTCACCATGTTGCCCAGGCTGGTCTTGAACTCCTGAGTTTAAGCGATCTGCTAGACTTCGCCTCTCAAAGTGCTGGGATTACTGGCATCAGCCACCACAGGTGGACTATATTCAGATTTTTGAGTCTCAGAATCATAACATCCAGAAGGGCCTGGATCTTGACCGTCATTCTGAGGAAAAACTGATAGCTGAATAAGTATTTTTTTCTTTGTTTAAAAATTTGGCCAGACGCAGTGGCTCAGGCGTGTTAATCTCAGCACTTTGGGAGGTGGAGGCAGGCGGATCACCAGAGGTCAGGAGTTCAAGACCAGCCTGGCCAACATGGTGAAACCCTGTCTTTACTAAAATACAAAAATTAGCCGGGTGTGGTGGCGGGTGCCTGTGGTCCCAGCTACTCGGGAGGCTGAGGTTGCAGTGAGGTGAGATCATGGCACTGCACTCCAGCCTGGGCGACGGAGCACACCTCCATCTCACCAAAAAAAAAAAAAAAAAAAATTGGCTGGGTACGGTGGCTCATGCCTGTGATCTCAGAACTTTTGGAGGCAGAGGTGGGTGGATCACTTGAGGCCAGGAGTTCGAGACCAGCCTGGGCAACAGAGTGAAACCCCATCTCTACAAAAAATATAAAAATTATCCAGGCGTGGTGGCCTGCATGCCTGTAATCCCAGCTACTCATGAGGCTGAGGCATGAGAATTATTTGAACCGAGGAGGCGAAGGCTACAGTGAGGAGAGATCGTGCCGCTGCACTCTAGCCTGGGTGACAGAGTGACCTTGTCTCAGGAGAAAAAAAAAAAGAAGTAAAACAATTTTACTTGCGGCTGGGTGCAGTGGCTCACATCTATAATCTCACCACTTTGGGAGGCCAAGCCGGGTGGATCATGAGGTCAGGAGTTCGAGACCAGCCTGACCAACATGGTGAAACCCCATCTCTACTAAAAATACAAAAATTAGCTGGGCATGGTGGCACGCACCTGTAATCCCAACTACTTGGGAGGCTGAGGCTGAGGCAGGATAATCACTTGAAGCCAGAGGCGGAGGTTACAGTGAGCTGATATTGCACCACTGTATGTCAGCCTACTAGGTGACTCCGTCTCAAAAAAAAAATTTTTTTTCTTTACTTGCAAAATTAGATGGCTGACCAGTCCATAAAATATTAACATGCAATAATGAAAATATTAATATACAATTTAATATCATAAGCCTGAGTTCAGGAAAGTGAACAGTACCAGCAACCCCAAATTCCTAAGAGGTCAGTCATGGCCATAGTAGTATTTAAATAATGCTAGCCAGACTGACAATCCTGTCCTAAGAATAGATGTAGCTAGAACTCACTAACTCTGCACCCTCCACCCACACAGCCAGAGGAAACCATTCTCCTGATCTCTGTGATAAGCATTTTCTTCTTTTCCTTATGGATTTTGCACTTATTTATGCATCCTTTAATAACACCTAAATACATTCCTTGTTGCCTGGACAAAATCTGTTTGTGAAAACATTGTGAATCACAAATTTTCAGGTAGGAAAACCTAAAATGCATTAATTTAAATGGGAAAAGTAATAATGCCATCTAAAGCCTCTAGTCAATTTATCTCCAAATAACCATGGTTTTAACCATCCACACCATGGATTTCCGCATAACCCAATACATTTATTTATTTATTTATTTATTTAGCAACAGGGTCTCACTCTGTTGCCCAGGCTGGAGTGCAGGGTGTGATCTCAGCTCACTGCAACCTCCGCCTCCCAGGTTCGAGTGATTCTCGTGCCTCAGCCTCCCGAGTAGGTAGGAGTACAAGCATGTGCTAACATGCCTAGCTAACTTTTTTGTATTTGTAGTAGAGACAGGGTTTTGACATGTTGGCCAGGCTGGTCTAGAACTCCTGGCCTCACGTGATCCACCTAGTTCAGCATCCCAAAGTGCTGGCATTACAGGCATGAGACACTGTACCCAGCTAATCCAAGACTTTAAAAACACTAATTATGCCGGGCACGGTGGCTCACGCCTGAAATTCCAGCACTTTGGGAGGCCAAGGCGGGTGGATCACGATGTCAGGAGATCGAGACCATCCTGGCTAACACAGTGAAACCCCGTCTCTACTAAAAATACAAAAAAATTAGCTGGGCGTAGTGGTGGGCGCCTGTAGTCCCAGCTACTCGGGAGGCTGAGGCAGGAGAATGGCGTGAACCCGGGAGGCGGAGCTTGCAGTGAGCCGAGATCGTGCCACCGCACTCGAGCCTGGGCGACTGAGCAAGACTCCGTCTCTCAAAAAACAAACAAACAAACAAATAAAAAAAAAAACACTAATTCCCAGCACTTTGGGAGGCCAAGGAGGGCAGATGACTTGAAGTTGGGAGTTCGAGACCAGCCTGGCCAACATGGTAAAACCTCATCTCTACTAAAAACACAAAAATTAGCTGGCTGTGGTAGGACACACCTGTAAACTCAGCTACTCAGGAGGCAAAGGCAGGAGAATTGCTCAAACCTGGGGAGCAGTGAGCCAAGATTATGCCTCTGCATTCCAGCCTGGGTGACAGACCAAGACTCCGTCTCAAACAAAAACACTAATTACTTATTTAAAAGTCATTGGTGAGGCCAGGCGCGGTAGCTCAGGCTTGTAATTCCAGCACTTTGGGAGGGCGAAGCAGGTGGATCACAAGGTTAGGAACTGGAGACCAGCCTGGCCAACACAGTGAAACCCCGTCTCTACTTAAAAAAAAAAAAAAAAAATTAGCTGGGCATGGTGGCAGGCGCCTGTAATCCCAGTTACTCAGGAAGCTGAGGCAGGAGAATTGCTTGAACCCAGGAGGCAGAGGTTGCAGTGAGCTGAGATCATGTCATTGGACTCCAGCCTGGGAGATAAGAGCTAGACTCTGTTTCCAAAAAAAAAAAAGGTCATTCGTGAAATTCTTTTGAAATGTCTATTATTGGTATAAAAATATGCCAGAATGTAAAACAACTATGTATCTAAGAACTCATTTCAGGCCGGGCATGGTGGCTTACGTCTGTAATCCCAGCACTTTGGGAGGCCAAGGTGGGTGGATCATCTGAGGTCAGGAGTTCAAGAGCAGCCTGGCCAACATGGTGAAACCCCATCTCTACTAAAAATACAGAAGCAGCCAGGCGTGGTGGTGGGTGCCTGTAATCTCAGCTACCCAGGAGGCTGAGGCAAGAGAACTGCTTGAACCCAGGAGGTTGCAATGAGCCAAGATCGTGCCACTGCATTCCAGCCTGGGCAACAGAGCAAGACTCCATTTCAAAAAAAAAAAAAAAAAACAAAAAACAAAACTCATTTCACAGTTAGACTTTCTTGATGAAGCTAACTGTACCCAAGCTCCTCATATGTCATCACAGACCAGTGGCACTTTTTGGAGTTATTATAGTTCACATTTTGCATATTACATTTATTTAGGATATGAATTATACTGTCATTCTATACTAAAATGGACAATAAACATAGAAAGAAACATGCAATAAACACATAAATGACACTAAAATATACTATTTAAATCAGGTTGATAGTGCTCTCAGAAACCTGATAGAAGAAAACATGTATCCATGAAGAGCTAAACCTAGAATGACAATATAACTTATCATCCAGATTGCCTTCATTGTTGAGAATGAGGGAAGTGCTAGTAACAACTGTAACAGGATACAGGCATAAACTGGACTATCTCAGGCAAATCAAAAAATATGGTCACCAGAGCTAATCCGTGATACAAAAGGTGGGAAAGGTGAGTAGTGGTCATGCACAGCCATGTTTAAATGACTCCAGCAAGATCTGTATCTTGGCTCAGCAACCACTGGCTCACAACTGCAGCTCCCTCTGTACTCTATGCTTCTCGCCTGCACATGTGTAGACTCACTAACGGATGAGGTATGGCTTGGGTGTAAACTTTAGCTAAGACTCCAAAAGTCTTTCTCCCTGTCTGAAAGTCACACAGGGACTATCTGCAAATGTTCAGAAAGTGAGGGAGACCAGAAGGTTAGCTTTGTCTGTTTTTGGAGGTTGTTTTTTTTTTTTCTTTTTCTTTTTTTGACAGGGAGTCTCTGTCACCCAGGCTGGAGTGCAGTGGTGCAATCTTGGCTCACTGCAAGCTCTGCCTCCCAGGTTCATGCCATTCTCTCGCCTCAGCCTCCTGAGTAGCTGGGACTACAGGCACTCCCCACCACACCTGGCTAATTTTTTGTATTTTTAGTAGAGATGGAGTTTCACTGTGTTAACCAGGATGGTTTTGATCTCTTAACCTTGTGATCCGCCCACCTCAGCCTCCCAAAGTGCTGGGATTACAGGCGTGAGTCACTGCATCTGGCCTGTTTCTGGAGTTTTTACAAAAGGAATCATACTAATACTGTAACTCTACGTACGTGTTGATGCCTTGTTGTGCTAGATATTCCACCTAATGGTGGTATTCCATGGTTGGCTCCAGAGCTGCTGCTGTGGGTGGGGTAGGGAAAGGGAAGCCTTTAGCTCCCACTGTCTGGACATACTGTATTAATTCTGGCTTTGCCTCGAGTTTTCCTTACAGCTTTTTAGAGACTAATAGCTGCCTTCAATGGAACATGCTAGGTCTGTCGTAAGAGACTTGTTCTCCGTGGTGAACATTTGGGAACTCAGAGTGCGTGGGAAAAGAGTCTGATCACAGATGGCCTGTCACTCAGCTATGCCTTTGCATAGGGCACCTTCTCAGTTACTGGGTGAATGTGCTGGAACATTTTGAGGGGAATAACTGAGGCTTGCTGGATGTACTCTGGATTACTGCTGCTTCGGACTTGGTAAGGCAAGGGGGGGCAACCTAGTGTGGTACAGTAAATCCTTTTGTAGGAGGCCACCAGACCACGGAGGATTGAGTGGTATTGTTCTGAATGGTGGGCTGGGGACAGGAGGAAGGAAGGTAAGGTAAACACTTTCAAGGCTACTGTGAGAAACAAAAGTGATGACACAAGAGTGCCTAGTACATACAACCAGCCAGGCTGGATTTGACAACCAAACACTCTTTGACCAACACCTAGCACACATATATGTAGAGAGTCAAAGACAGAACAAAATCACAAATATTCTCATTCTCCACGAAGAAGAATTAACATTTTTTGAACATGCCTGGTACCAGTCTGGGCACAGTGGCTCAGGCCTGAAGTCCTGGTGTTTTGGGAGGCTGAGGCAGGAAGATCGCTTGAGGCCAGGAGTCCAAGGCCAGCCTGGGCAACACAGCAAGATCCTGTCTATATAAAACAAAACCCGCCACCCACCAAAACATGCCAGGGGCTTCATATATTTTCTCACTTCCTCTTCATAATCACCTGAGTCTCCCCAAATCCACAATCAAACACCACTTTTCTTTTTTTTTTTTCTTCTTTTTTTTTGAGATGGAGTCTTGCTCAGTAGCCCAGGCTGGAGTGCAGTGGTGTGATCTCGGCTCACTGCAAGCTCTGCCTCCTGGGTTCATTCATGCCATTGTCCTGCCTCAGCCTCACGAGTAGCTGGGACTACAGGTGCCCACTACCACGCCCAGCTAATCTTTTTTTGTATTTTTAGTGGAGAGGGGTTTCACCATTTTAGCCAGGATGGTCTCGATCTCCTGACCTCGTGATCTGCCCACCTTGGCCTCCCAAAGTGCTGGGATTACAGGTGTGAGCCACCACACCTGGCCGAGCACCACCTTTCTTTAAAGTCAAGCAGAAAAAGCCTTCTGTGACATATTGGTGGGCTCTAAAGGCTGACATTTACTCTGGGTTCCCCGCAGACTCTCCCCTTACCATTGCTGAGAGAATCTGTACTCCCGGGGCTGTGTTGCCTGGAGACCAACTCAGTCCCTGTTTTCCTCAGCTCTGTGTTTTCATTGTACCGTCTTTTCCAATAGTTGAGTTCTTCACGATCTGATTCCTGACAGCGCCGCAGAACTGCCATGGAGCGCCTTGTTTTCTCTACCATTTCCATAATACAATTCAGCGCCTGAGTCAGAGAGGGGGCCAGGCAAAGATGAGATGAGAACATCCAAACAACCATAAATCAGGCCAAAGCAGTATGAGGAATTCAGGTTCCTTAAAGTACAGGTTTAGGAATATCAAGTTTACATTTAAAACCCTTTATTGCTATCTGTTTCTCCATCAGCCAGGAAGGACACTGGTGTTGAGGGTGACAAACCTATTGAGGACAGTAACTACCAGGGCTTCCAGTGTTTGGACAGAACCTCAGATGCATGGCCTTCTGGCCAACCATCTACGATTTCATGTTGCTGCAGCATTTGTTGTGGGAGGTCTGCAGCACTCTGTAAGTTTGCTGTGGCTGAACCATAAAATAAGGTATACACAGATTTCTAACAGAAATTATGAATTTTGATAAGATGAGGAAGGCTGCTATCTTTCAGAATGCAAAATAATTTTGGAATATAAACAATTTTGGGGGGTTGAATTACCTAGAAGTTTGTTACTGACCTGTGTTCTAAAACTACGAAACATGAATATGTGGGCTAAAAAACAATTCTCTTTACTACAGAAGGAGCAGAATTGAAAAAAATAAAAAGAAAGTTTCTTTCGATAAAAATTTAACAAATAACAAGCGAATTCTGTCTTGCTATGTTGCCCAGACTAGACTGGAAGTCTTGGCTCCTGGGCTTAAGAGATACTCCTGCCTTAGCTTCCCGAGTAGCTGGGACTACAGGGATGTGCCACTGCGCCTGGCTACAAACCTTTGTTTTTAACCATTATACTACATGACTTTATTTGGTTTCTGACCTGAAGTGATCATCCCATCACAAAGATTAGGGAGTGACTGTAATTCTTTAGCTGAGGGAGTAGTAGCTAAACCAACTTTTATTAAAAGCAAAGGATGCCATGGCTGTGGTTATATTCACTTCAAACATACATGTTCCTTTAATTATTGGTAGCATTAAGAATCAAAAGTAGGGGCCGGGCGCGGTGGCTCAAGCCTGTAATCCCAGCACTTTGGGAGGCCGAGGCGGGAGGATCACGAGGTCAGGAGATCGAGACCATCCTGGCTAACCTGGTGAAACCCCGTCTCTACTAAAAAATACAAAAAAACTAGCCAGGCGAGGTGGCGGGCACCTGTAGTCCCAGCTGCTCTGGAGGCTGAGGCAAAAGAATGGCGTGAACCCGGGAGGCGGAGCTTGCAGTGAGCTGAGATCCGGCCACTGCACTCCAGCCTGGGCGGCAGAGCCAGACTCTGTCTCAAAAAAAAAAAAAAAAAAAAAAAAAAAAAACAGAATCAAATGTAGGCTGAGTGCAGTGGCTCACACCTGTAATCTCAGCACTCTGGGAGGCTGAGGTGGGGAGATCACTTGAGGTCCGGAGTTTGAGACGAGCCTGGCCAACATGGCAAAACCCTGTCCCTACTAAAAATACAAAAATTAGCTGGGCGTGGTGGCATACACCTGTAATCCCAGCTACTCTGGAGGCTGAGGCAGGAGAATTGCTTGAACCCGGGAGGTGGAAGTTGCAATGAGCTGAGAACACACCACTGTACTCCATCCTGGGCAACAGAGCGAGACTCCTGTTTCAAAAAAAAGTAATAAAGAATTAGGGACATTACACACTACAAGATTCTTACATGGTCAAGATGTTTCCATTCATCAGCCCATTCCCTTTCTGTCAAACGATGATCTACCAACTCATCTTGATAGCCTCCATTTAGACCTATTAGAAATTAGAGATTAAATTCAAAGATAGCAAGAAAAACACAATAGAAGCAAATTCTACCAAGTAAATACACACATATTCATCATTACTTTGAACACACTATTAAGGCAATGATTCACAATGGGGTGGGGGACCCACAAAATGACAATACAACCAACAAAGGATCACTATTCAGATTATATTAAAAAAAACCCCAACAAATCAATTGTAAAACACAAAATAGCCCTAAAGAAAAAGAGGTAAAAGAAATAAACAGGTATGTTATACATAGCATTTAACACCTAACATATTGGAAAAAATTAAAATGTCAGATAATACCAAGTGTTGGCAAGGATGTGGTGCAATGCGAGTAATTAACCACCAAAACCAGAGTGTCTACTGGTACAAACATTTGGAAACTGCTTAACATTATCAGTAACTTAAAAACATTTTTTTGGTGGGGGGATAGTTTTGATATATACTGAAATTTCCAGGAATGGAACAACTGTGTGAATTAAAGGTATACCAATAAGAACTGTCTACTATTTTGAAGAACTCAAATCATAAACAGCAACAGTGCTTAGTCTTTGAGTCATTAACACAACACCCCTGTTACCAGTCTGAATTTATAGGCGTAATATTCATAGTGACTATGTATCAGTGTGAGAATCTGTTTATTTCAGTATATATTGAGTTCCTCATGATCTGTACAATCTGTCAAAAATGTAGTAATAAGAGCCAGGTGTGGTGGGGCGTGCCTATAGTCCCAGCCACTCAGGAGGTTGACACAGGCAGATCACTTGAGCCCAGGAGTCCAGCCTGGGCAATATAGTGAGACCCCATACCTAGTTTTTGGCATACTTTTTTCTCAAGTCAAACTGGCAAAAAATGTGCAGAAGAAACCATTAGCAAGTCAGCTTTTTTTCCCTGCACTGTGCTATTTCCAATCAAAGCAAGTCAGTTTTCCCTTGACAGAGTCTCACTCTGTCACCAGGCTGGAGTGCAGCAGTGTGATCTCGGCTCACTGCAACCTCTGCCTCCTGGGTTCACGCCCTTCTCCTGCCTCAGCCTCCCAAGTAGCTGGGACTATAGGCACCTGCCACCATGCCTGGCTAATTTTTTGTATTTTTAGTAGAGACGAGATTTTACCATGTTAGCCAAGATAGTCTCGATCTCATGACCTCATGATCCACCTGCCTAGGCCTCCCAAAGTGCTGGGATTACAGGTGTGAACCACCATGCCCAACCCCCACAAGCAGTTTTTAATAGATAAAAGAGAGGCATGGGAGTAACAGGGGTTGAACACTAGGATTGGTATCATAACATACTGCTAGTACATCTAAGCCTTGGGCATAAGTCAATTAGGGTCTGAATTTTGTCTCTGCCAATTATCAGCTATGTGATTTTGGCCATAGTTCTTTCATCTTTCATCTGTAAAAAGGGGATAACAATTGCCTGGGACTCCTGTGAGGATTAAATGAGACAATGTACGTACAACACAAACTAAGTGGTAGCTATGACTCAGTAAATGTTGGCTCTGAGAACACCATAGCTGCTACAGCCTTCCCTATTCAGCTACTATCCCACTACATGATGCCAGGGGCCCCAATGCGGCCAAGCATCTGAAAGATGCTAGTGAGCCTAAATAAGAGGAAGTCAGGGCAAATGTGCTGCAATTTCTTACTTAACAAGGTACAAACGGAAATTTAGGGAAACCCTGGAAGCTGATAGCCCTTTGGTTCCCTGCTCTGACAGATGCTCAGTAGTTATACTCCAAAAAACCTTATACTGAAAATGTGTAAGAGTACATGACAAAATACTCTGTCCAAAACTAGAAGAGGTTTGTTAAGGTTTCTTTTCTGTTTCTTCCTAAATTTAATGGTTTCTGAGCACCCAGGTACCAGGCACTCCAAATGGAACAACAACCCAGCACAGGGGGTGGTGTTATTTCCATTTAGAAATTACTCTTCTGAGGCTCAGAGAGCCCAAGCAACTTGCATGAGATCACACAGCTAGTTAGGATGCAGAGCTGAGATTTCGAGATGCCTCACCTCCTGACCTAAATGTCCATGCACTTTCACCTCCAAGGTGAAATCTTGCATCTTTCTCGCTTAATTTTAAAAACTTTGTTTTTTTTGTTGTGTTGAGGCAGGGTCTCATTCTGTTGCCCAGGAGGGGAGTGTAGTGGCACCATCACGGCTCATTGCAGTCTTGACCTCTTGGGCTCATGCAATTCTCCTGACTCATTTTTTTGCTTTGTTTTTTATTTTTTGTTTTTGTTTTTGTTTTTTTTTTGGAGACGGAGTCTTGCTCTGTCGCCCAGGCTGGAGTGCAGTGGCATGATCTTGGCTCACTGCAAGCTCTGCCTCCCGGGTTCACACCATTCTCCTGCCTCAGCCTCTTGAGTAGCTGGGACTACAGGTGCCCGCCACCTCGCCAGGCTAATTTTTGTATTTTTAGTAGAGACGGGGTTTCACCGTATTAGCCAGGATGGTCTCGATCTCCTGACCTCATGATCCACCTGCCTCGGCCTCCCAAAGTGCTAGGATTACAGTCGTGAGCCACCACGCCCAGCCCCTCCTGCCTCATTTTTAATTTTTGTTGTTGTAGAGATGAGCTCTTCCTATGTTGCCCATGCTGGTATCAAACTTCTGGCCTCAAGTGATCCTCCTGCCTTGGCCTCCCAAAGTGCTGGGATTATAGGCATGAGCCACTGAGCTTGGCCTAATTTCTTTTGTTGTTGTTGAGACGGAGTCTCGCTTTGTCGCCCAGACTGGAGTGCAGTGGCCGGATCTCAGCTCACTGCAAGCTCCGCCTCCCGGGTTTATGTCATTCTCCTGTCTCAGCCTCCCGAGTAGCTGGGACTACAGGCGCCCGCCAGCTCGCCCGGCTAGTTTTTTTTAGTAGAGACGGGGTTTCACCGTGTTAGCCAGGATGGTCTTGATCTCCTGACCTTGTGATCCGCCCGTCTCAGCCTCCCGAAGTGCTGGGATTACAGGCTTGAGCCACCGCGCCCGGCCGCTTGGCCTAATTTTAAAAAGATTTATAGAAGAACTGCAAAAGGAGCACAGAGAATTCTCACATATCTTCAAACAGTTTTCAAATGTTAACATTTTATCTTGTTTGCTTTTTCATTCTCTTTTTCTGAATCATTTGAGAATAGGCAATACCCCTTTATTCTTTTTTAGACAGGTCTCACTCTGTCACCCAGACTGAATGCAGTGGCAAGATCATGGCTCAATGTAGCTTTGACTTCCTGGACTCAAGTGATCCTCCCTCCTCAGCCTCCCTAGCAGCTGCGACCACAGGCGCATGCCACCAAACCTAGCTAGTTTTTAAAAATTTTCTGTAGAGACAGGGTCTCACCATGTTGCCCAGACTGGCTTCAAGTGATCCTTCCACCTCAGCTGGGATTACAGACACCAGTCACCACACCCAGCTGTACTTCTATCATATCATAGCAACAAGGTATCAAATAAGATTAATATCAAATAAGATCAACTACTATTCTAATAGTCTACATATAATAGTGTTTTATCCAATCAGTGGGAAAAAGCAATCATGATATTATTTGACTTTATCATTGAGTTGGAAAGAAATCCAAGAATCCAGTCTGAATTTACCATGCTCCTTAGGTTGCTTACCGAGACTGTGGTGTCTATCACGAACTTCTCGATGCTCTAGCATCTTGTTGGGTTCCCGATACAGGTGAGAAGTTGCAATATCCTCTAAGGTGTAATGCTGAAGAGGCGGAGGGGTAGGATGGAATTGGCCCCCAGGATTCATTAGGGGCACAGTGAGAGCAGGACTGTGCCGAGGAGCAGGGCTGATGGTACATACTCTCTTGGCAGGAGGCTCAGGAGCGATTGTATCTCTATCAAAACTATTGTCTTCTCTCCTGTAGAAGAAGCAGAAGTGCATATTTGATCCTGTCAACAAGTTTTCATGCAGACATTTCCCGAGAACCTAGTGTGTGTTAGCTATTTTGCTATACACTGGCATAAACAGGAAGACTCTAAGGAAGGGTGTGACATGAGGCATGAACTGAACTGTCTTCAGGGGCCAGGCACCTCATGTAAATTGCTGACTTATACTAGCATGAAAAAGGAGGTCAAATCCATCCATAACCAGACAGAAACATTAACCCTCATAAAGCAAAGGAGAGACTAAGGAGATGACAGCCTTTTTCTAAGTTATGGGTTTAACAATACTTAGGAAAGTATTAAGGTCAAATTTGTTACCATGGAGGTGAGTTACTGGAAAGAAACTACATGGGAGGAAAAAGGCTCATATAACAAATCCAATTGTATCTTTTTTTTTTTTAAAGCCAGTCAAATTAACCCTGGGTCTAATTGTGTAGTGGCAGGGTTTTTAGTCACTCAGATCCAACTGTAATAAGTTTTCTACCTTTATTTATTTATTTTTTTTACTTAAAAAAAAATGTCATTAAAGCCTATCCACTATTGTTAAAATATTGCCTTCTTTGATAACCCATAGAATATTATGATAGCCACTCATAGGGAGTTTTCTAAAATAAATTTATATTAATTTCAATCTCAGTAAAGGTGAGCCATTGGCAAATATTAATAATTAATTGCTATACTTTTTCAAAACTTCTCATATCAGAAAAAAATGCATTTGACATAAAAGGCATTTGGCAGACTGTATTGCTTGTTTTCTTTCTTTTCTTTTTTTTTTCTTTTTCAATTCTTTCTACAAACAGCATCCAAGAAAAGGCAGAACTGTATTCCTGAGGCTTCTGGAACAGTCGATCCCATAAATTCTCTAGAGTAGAGTTTCTTACTGGGTGTGCAGGCATCTGAGGAGTTTCTGAAAAATACTCATGCCTGGAAGCTACTCCCATAGATTTTAGATGTATTCTGCAGCGAGGTATTGGAATAAAGCAAAAATAACCATAGAAAGTCTGAGACATTGGGCTGGGCATGGTGGCTCCCACCTGTAATTTCAGCACTTTGGGAGGTCGAGGCGGGCAGATCTCTTGAGCTCACAAATTTGAGACCAGCCTGGGCAACATGGTAAAACCCCATCTCTCCAAAAACAAACAAACAAACAAACAAATAAAAATTAGCTGGTCATGGTGGCACGTGCCTGTAGTCCCAGATACTCGGGACGCCTCTGAGGTGGGAGGATCACTTGAGCCCAGGAGGCGGAGGCTTCAGTGAGCAAAGGTTGTGCCACTGTGCTCCAGTCTGGGTAACAGAGCCAGACCTTGTCTCAAAAAAAGGTTGAGACATTACAACCACAGCAATCAAATTCTCTTTATTTTATAAGCAAAGGGGAAGGCCAGTGTGGTTCCAGGAAGGCAAGGACAGCAAAGTTCATCTGCTCACCTCTCTGGACTGGGCCGCTTCCCATTTCCGTGTACCTCCATGAGCAGCTCTGACGAATCAGCAGGCGATGCAATGCTTGTGTTGAGCAGAAGGTGTTCGTGCTGAGCGAGGTACTGGGATGGGGTCTGCTTGGCTGCCCGAGCGCAGTGCAGCAGTTCTCGCTGTAGCAGGGGAAGGTTGGCCTTGAAAGGAAGAGGCAGTTTGTCCAGTGTTGGGCCCTACACAAGAGGGCTCAGCACCTCAAAGAGCTTTCACAAAGCAGATGATACCAGATAAAAGTCTTTCTCTCCTTGGCAGTCTGATTTTCATATACTTCTTCTGTGAGTCAATGATATCTCTTATATTGCACCTGAATTACTGGTTCAGTTGCCTCTTGCCCAAATCAGATGTAAATCTGCTTAAGGAAGAGACTGCACCTTATTTACCTTTGCAGCCTAGTATACAGTCAAAGCTCAATAAAGGGTTGTTAAACATAGTAATATACTTCTGAAGACTTTAGTCAGTGAGAGAATTACTACTGCCTCTGTGGGAGTCATTCCAAGCCCTGGTTTCTCTCTTCTGAACCCCAACTCATCTCTGATAGCACTACTCAACCTTCCTTCATGTTCTGTATAAAAGCTGCCACGGAATTCTGCAAACTGTGATTATTCTAAAACATGGGAGTTTGAAAAGGAGCACTGGGAGTGATATAAAATGTAAAAAGATAATTCATGGCCGGGTGGGGTGGCTCACACCTGTAATCCCAGCACTTTGGGAGGCCAAGGCGGGCAGATCATGAGGTCTGGAGATGGAGACCATTCTGGCTAATACGGTGAAACCCCGTCTCTACTAAAAACACAAAAAATTAGCCGGGTGTGGTAGCGGGTACCTGTAGTCCCAGCTACTCAGGAGGCTGAGGCAGGAAAAGGGCATGAACCCGGGAGATGGAGCTTGCAGTGAGCTGAGATTGCACCACTGCACTCCACAGCCTGGGTGACAGAGCAAGACTCCGTCTTCAAAAAAAAAAAAAAAAAGATAATTCATTAAGTATTTTTCTCTCTCATACTTAGAAAACCTGTAATAGGAACAAATCATATTTTAAAACCCTATACATCTTTTAAAGCTGAGAACTTGATTTCCTTCATACACAGAATTTACTTTTCCCATTTTTATCAAAAAAACCATAAAGCAGAAATTATATTTTTCTCACCAAATTTAAAAGCAATCCAGTCTGAGCTCATAAGCAAAGGCTTAATCCCAAGGGACAGATGAGCAAGTGAAAGGAGAGTTTTAATACATGCAAGTAGCCATCCCTTCACTGAGGGTTAATTTAGCAGGCACCATAATTAGTGACTGTTTTAAAGCAGAAATAAATTGACAAAACCCTAAATGCTAGCCAAAAAGCTGCCATAACAACCTACCTCATGCTGTTTTCCAAAATAACAGAGTTAAGAATAGGGAATTTGACTAAATAAAACTCTTTTAAAGTCTGTTCTATAACCTCAATCTTGTTGCAACTGTAAAAACTTAATTGAAAAAAACACCATGTTAGATCTTTACAATGGTGACATGTGTCCCATGATGAATAAAAAACATGCTAATTATTTCCTATTAACACAAATTTCAGAAATCTTTCTTGATTCTAGAGTCTTGGGGAAATAATTGTCTACCAGCTCTAACATACATAAAGAAGACCAAGATAGAACCAGCACAGCTGTTTCAGGGCTCAAAAAGGCACCACAGGCTGCTCAGAGCAGCCGAGGCTTCAATGCCATTAGAACTGAGCAATGATACAGGCTGTGCACCCTAGACTGATGCATTTTCCTGTGCTCCAATATAAGGTTTTAAAAAACTGGTATCAGTACTTTAGTAAGATAACCCATCTGTCTGATGCTATTACATTTTCTTAGGAAATGAAAATAAGGTAAAAGAAAGCAAAAGAGGCATATTTATTTGACCAGACAGCAAATATTACAGGCTTTGTTAAGCAGCAAAATTAGATGCCGGGCGCAGTGGCTCACACCTGTAATCCCAGCACTTTGGGAGGCCAAGGCAGGCGGATCACAAGGTCAGGAGTTTGAGACCAGCCTGGCCAATGTGGTGAAACCCATCTCTACTATAAATACAAAAATTAGCCAGGTGTGGTGGCGCATGCCTGTAGTTCCAGCTACTCAGGAGGCTGAGGCAGAAGAATTGCTTGAACTCGGGAGGCAGAGGTTGTAGAGCCGAGATCGCACCACTGCACTCCACCCTTGATGACAGAGCAAGATTTTGTCTCCAAAAAACAAAAAAGAGGCAAAATTAAAGGTATTATAGAAATACTCATTAAAGAAAACAAATTTCCATAAATACTGACAAAATTCAAAATACAGTGACAACTGAATTCAGTTTTTCTGTAAAATGATTCTAATCAAATCAACACCAGAGAAAACTAAATCCAGGTGCACAGACATTAGTGGGACGTGGTAAAATATGAATAAAGTCTATAGATAACAGTGTTGTATGAATGTTACTTTCCTGATTTGATATCTGTGTTCAAGTATTTAGATGTATAATGTCTGCAGCTTACTTTTCTTTTTTGAGACAGAGTCTTGTTCTGCCACCCAGGCTGGAGTGCAGTGGCACAATCTTGGCTTACTGCAACCTCCCAGGTTCAAGCAATTCTCCTGCCTCTGCCTCCTGAGTAGTTGGGACTACAGGCATGTGCTAATTTTTTCTATTTTTAGTAAAGACGGGGTTTCATCATGTTAGTCAGGCTGGTGTCTAACTCCTGACCTCAAGTAATCTGCCTGCCTCGGCCTCCCAATGTGCTCGGATTACAGGCGTGAGCCACCACACCCAGCCTTGCGGCTTACTCTTAAATATTTCTTTTTTTAGTCTTTTTTATTTTTTTTTATTTTTGAGGATGTCTCACTCTGTCACCTAGGCTGGGGTACAGTGGCAGAGCTCACTGCATCCTCTGCCTCTCAGGTTCAAGCGATTCTCCTGCCTCAGCCTCCCAACTAGCTGGGACTACAAGCGTATGCCACCACACCTGGCTAATTGTTTTTCTAATTTTTTGGAGAGACGGGGGTTTCGCCATGTTGGCCATTCTGGTCTTGAACTCCTGAGTTCATGCAATCCATCTGCCTTGGCCTCCCAAAGTGCTGGGGTTACAGGTGTGCACCACCGTTTGAAAGGATTATGTTCCATGTAAATATAACACGGCCTCATTTCATTTATCTTGTAAGCAGGATAATGCAGAACAATCTCTCCAAACGTTATGCTCCATAGAACATTATTGCAGAAGACATCTTTAGAAACTAGACTATCTGGGGCTTGGGGAGACACAGTGTCTTCCTATATCCTCTCCTGACCTTACAGTAAATCTAAACTGCAAAAGCCTTGCCTTTTGTCCGACAGCCTCTTCTCAGATAACAGTCTCCACACTCTGACTATACCCAAAAGATTAGTGACCAGTTATTTCTTCTGCTAGGAGCTCAGCCTCCCTTCCACCCTGACACTTCCAGCCCAAGCACCTCCTATTCTCTCCTATGCTAGCTACTTCTGTGTGTTACCAGCAGTGTCTTGCATACAGACTACAACTTAAGGCTTTCGCAATTCTCATCTCATTAAAACTGAGGTTTATCTGTTGACTACACTCAGACCTCTCTACCAGCCCAAAATAAAGATCTAAAAACGTGGCAAGCAGCTCTGATTTAAATCACATAACAGGGATGAGCAGAATTTGCGGAAATACTGAAGATAAATTATATTCAGTAATTATCTTATCAAATTACCTTGAGAAATGGAATCACAAAAGGACGAAGGGGAAAGTTTGTGGCTTCCTGGAGCTTACAGTGGAATTCCTCGATTGTCACTGTTGAGTTCTGAAAAGATAAATAACCTTGTTCAACTTCCAAAACTGGACTTCCAAAACTTACAGTGCCAAACTCTTTTTTTTTTTAATGTTATTTATGTATTTATTTATTTATTTGAGATGGAATCTCGCTCTGTTGCCCAGGCCGGAGTGCAGTGGCGCGGTCTCAGCTCACGGTAACCTCCACCTCCTGTGATCTCCTGACGGTGAACTCCTGACTTTGTGATCTGCCTGCCTCAGCCTCCTACAGTGGTGGGATTACAAGGGAGAACCACCGCGCCCCGCCTTTTTATTTTTGTTTTTTAAATGTTTAGTAGAGATGTAGTCTCGCTATGTTGTCCAGGCTAGTCCTGAACTCCTGAGCTCAAGCTATCTTCCTGCCTCAGCCTCCCAAAGTGTTGGGATTACAGGGGTGAGCCACCGTGCTCAGCTGCTGAAGTCTTTTAAATCGTAAGAAAAAGGATAACTGCAGAAACATTATCAGGAACTCAGATGCCTGGCAAAGGTAAACCACACTGGTTTCTTATGACAGAAATTCACCCTCCTTGATTCCCTTCACCACCACCCCAAATCCAAATTCTCCCCTTTGCCAAGCAGCCTAGGCTGCAGAATAGGGCACTGCCTTTCTCACTACCCACGAAGAGAGGCACTCAGGTCCCTGATATTGAGAGGTTCATTGCAAGTCACTTCAGGGACAGGGTATCAAGCTTACAATGTTTCCTGTTATACAGATACTGATTTGCCTAGGATGTCAACTTTTAAGACATTTTGGACTCAATAACCCAGTGTCACATTTTTAGTTCATTTCTTTTTCAAGTTCTGCTCCCTACCTCCTGGCATAACTTCCCCCAAATCTTCAAAATAGAAAAACAACAACAACAACAACAACAAAAAACCCCAAAAAAAACAACAGATGCAAAAGCAAAAGAAAAAAAATAGTTGCCTTCTAAGACTTCAAGTGGCCTGTATGTGTTATGCATATAAATAACTCCCAACAGGCAAACCTCCATTGGTAAGTTATTACTGTTCTCTAAAAGAGTGCACGTCCTCTGTGTTTTCTCAAGAGTCTAGGCCTCAAATTAGGAATGAGACTCAGCAACTCTGCGAAGGGGAATGAACAAATAAAAATATTTTCTTCAAAGTTCACACAATATTTGTATTTCAATTCCTAATAACACTATATGATAGCAAATTAAAACAAACGAATAAAACAAAATGTGGGGATTATTCTGAATCCCTGCCTGTTCCCCCGCAAGAGCTATTACCATTTCTAGGAATTTACTTTTAGAAACTTTACAAGTGTTCAAAAACATAGTATGTAACTATGTAACATGCAACTTACCCCCACACTATCTCAATATATTTTCCTAACCAAAAAAAAAAAAGGAAAATACATAGATCTACCAATAGGAAGCTACATTAAAATTACAAGAGTCATGTATGCTTATGCAGGGAGGGGGGAGAGCAGATTTGTATGCATTAAGGCAGAAAAGGTATCCACAATACTGCTAAGTGAAAAACCAGAAACAGAACATTATATTTTCTAAGAATCCACTTACAAAAATAACACACATACATATTATATTATATCATATATTTAATTCCTGGAAGAATAATCACAATAACAGTTATTTCTGAGTATGCAATTATGTTGGATTTTCCAAATATATCATATTTATTATTCGGTAAACATTAAGATATTTTCCTTCAGGGAAAAGGGGTATGTCTAATTTAAACATATTAAAGGAAAATGTTTGAACATTTTCCCACATTTCATACCAAAAAAATTATTTTAAAGTTAACTGTGTATCTGTTTTAAGTATATGACATTTGCACAATACAGCCAAAGAAACCTGTAATTCTGGTAATCAGGAATAAAAACTAAGTGTAAGAGAACGATACTCTTTTATACCTACTGCAAGGGAAGCAATCAGGTCTTGAAAAGCAAACACAAATAGATTAAATGTATGGAAGCCCTACATGAATGATTTCAAGTATACTTGTGGGTAGACAAGGGGAAAGGATGGATTGTGTGACACAGGGAAATCGTGAGTTAGGCCAAAGAAATGGACTCGGGGCTACATACACAGTATATCTACTGCGTAGGGCAGTCCTGCATGACAGGGATAAACACTTCCCTCCTTCAGCTAGTTTATTAAACCTTATTTTATATTAAAGAGCATAATTGTTTGTTTCTTCCCCTCAAAGATCTCATAGTCTAGTGGGAAAAGAGGCAACTAAGCTATTCATTTTAGTATGATGGAGGCACACATATACAGGACACTACTGACTCACAGAGAAGATATATTTGCTTAAATTTTTTTTTTTTTCCCCAGAGATACGGTCTAGCTCTGTCACTTAGGCTGGAGTGCAGTGGCATGATTATAGCTCACTGCAACCTTGAACTCCTGGCCTCAAATAATCTTCCCACGTTGGTCTCCAGAACAGCTAAACCAGCTATTTTTTTTTTTTTTTTTTTTTTTTTGAGACAGAGTCTCACTCTGTCGCCCAGGCTGGAGCGCAGTGGCGCAATCTAGGCTCACTGAAAGCTCCGCCTCCCGAGTTCACACCATTCTCCTGCCTCAGCCTCCCGAGTAGCTTTGACTACAGGCACCTGCCACCATGTCCGGCTAATTTTTTGTATTTTTAGTAGAGACCGGATTTCACTGTGTTAGGCAGGATGATCTCCATCTCCTGACCTCGTGATCTGCATGCCTTGGTCTCCCAAAGTGCTGGGATTATAGGCATGGGCCACTGCGCCCGGCCAATTTTTAAATTTTTTTTTGTAGAGGAAGGAATCACACTATGTTCCCCAGGCTGGTCTTAAGCTCCTGGTCTCAAGTCGGCCTGGGCTTTCCAAATTCTGGGATTATGGGTGTTACCCACACCTGGCCAGAGAAGATATATTTGAATCAAACTTAGGGGGTCAAGGAATTCTATACAGCAGTTTGTCCTTGAGGAAATCGAAATGCAGCTTTGGGAAAGATGTGTCAGAGCAGAGAGAAGAATGTTGAGAGGTAAGATGTTGGGGGAACCTGGTCTCTGGACTTCAAGGGCAACATTTATACTCCTATTCTGCTTCCTCCAATGCTTACATCTTTTTTTTTTTTTTTTGAGACAGAGTCTTGTTTTGTCACCCATGCTGGAGTGCAGTGGTGTGATCTCAGCTCACTGCAACCTCAGCTTCCCGGGTTCAAGTGATTCTTGTGCCTCAGCCTTCCAAGTAGCTGGGATTACAGGTGTGCACTGCCACTCCTGGCTAATCTTTGTATTTTCAGTAGAGACAGGATTTCACTATGTTGGCCAGGCTGATCTCGAACTCTTGACCTCAAGTGATCCTCCCAACTTGGCCTCCCAAAGGGTTACAATCTCAAAAGTAGGAAACTAACATTGGCACAATGTACTTATAGTTCTATACCATTTTGCCATATGTGTATTTTCATGTAACCACCACTGACCAAAATATAGAAATATAGAAACCTTGTCTATCTTTATCCTCCTGGTTTATAATAAAAATTGGCAATTATTTACTCTACATATACTGACAACCATATCAGGCAAAGTAATTTTTGCTGCCAATACCAAACATAATTTAGAAAACTCAGGAGAAGGAAAGTTAGTTAGCTAGTTACCTATGTATGTATGTATGCATGTATGTATCTACCTACCTACCTACCTACCTACCTACCTATCTACCTACCTACAGAGGTGGAGTACTGCTCTGTCATCCCCCTACCTATCTACCTACCTACAGAGGTGGAGTATTGCTCTGTCATCCAGGCAGGAGTACAGTGGTGTGATCATGGCTCACAGCAGCCTCGAACTCCTGGGCTTAAGTGATCCTCCTGCCTCAACTTCCTGAGTAGCTGAGACTATAGGCATACTCCACTGTGCCGGCTAAGGAAAGTTTATTTATTTATCTATATTTTCACTCTTAAACTCTTAACATTTTCTGCATACCCTGGTCTGGGATATATCAGAAAAACAGAAAACCTCGGGAACTCACTGCTTATGTAGTCCCTTAGGTCCCACGAGTGAATCTGCTGTCTTCTCTCTACCTTTAAGAGTCTTTTTTTTTTTTTAAAGGCCTGCTTGTAAGGTTGGGCCATTTAAACAAAAACAAAAAAAAGATGGGTCTTGCTCTGTCCCCCAGGCTCACAATTCACCTGCCTCAGCCTCCTAAGTAGCTGGGACTACAGACGCACTCCACCACACTTGGCGAAGAGTCTAATTATTTTTGTTTTATATGTAATGTCCATGGCTTTTTGCTATTTATCAGGGGGAATAGGAAGAAGTTTGTCTTTCTACCTTCCCTCTGAACCAGAATGAGACTTGATTATGATAATGGTAATATCCTATTCCATAACAGATAAATTGTACTTTACTCAGGGTTTTACAGACCTTTTAGTTAGCTTCAATGGGGGAGGGGGTACTTAATGTTGAACTGATTATCTTGGTGTATATTGTTTACTATTTTCTTAGGATGAATGGTACCAGAAACATTGCCAAACTATCCTCCAGAAAGTACATTCTCCAAATAAGTAAGTGAAGCACAAAACATTTACCATTACCTTGAAGTGGAAATTGCCCGTGCTTGCTTCCTGGTATAGTTAGGGACTCTCAGTACTTTACTTCTTATACACCATGGACACAGAATGCAGACAGGTGAACTCCAGCTACTAAATTATGTGGCCTTTATTTTTAGAGATGGGGATCTGGCTATGTTACCCAGGCTGGCCTCAAACTCCTGGGCCCAAGTGATCCTCCTGCCTCAGACTCCTGAGTAGCTGTGACTACAGGAACACACCACCACACATATGAAACCACAATTTCACTGTTGCATGCGATGCTTCCACACGTGTAAGAATGTTCATAGGAACATTATTTGTAATGGCCCTGTACTAAAAAGAGTTAACCTAGTAGGCCTAAAACTGCTAGCCTTAGAATAAGATTGGACCATTGGCTGGCATCGAGGACCCTGGATGGTAAACAGTTTCCTACACTGATATAAAACTTTTCTTAACTCAAGAGGTGGCAGCAACCCAAATGTCCATTGAGGGATTAACAGATCAATAAAATGTGATATAGAAATAAAATGAAATATTATTTAGCCTTAAAAAGGAAGGAAATTCTGACACATGCTATGACATGGATAAACCCTGAGGACATTAAGCTAAGTGAAATAGGCTAGTCACAAAAAGACAAATACTGTATGATTCTACTTTTATGAGGTTCTTAGAGTAGTTAAATCCATAGAGACAGAAAGTAGACTGGTAATTGCCAGGGTCTAGGGATAGAGGGGAATGGGGTGTTATTGTTTAATTGGTGCAATTTTGCAAGATGAAAAGTTTTGGAAATGGATGGTGATGATGGTTGTATAATAATATGAATATACTTATTGTCACTAAACTGTAAACCTAAAAATAGTTAATATAGTAAATTTCATCATAATTCAAAAAAAGCAATTGTATAAATTCCTTAACCCTGTGATGCTCATAGGCTCTAAGTACACAATGGCGAACAGGGACACATGGTGAACAGGAAAAACAATATGAATGTACTTAAGACCACTGAACTGTGTACTTCTATAATGTATATTTTGTATATTTTACTATGGAAAAAAACAGTTAACCCAAGTGTGGCCATTTAAAATAAATAATTGGACACATCTACATATACTTTTCATAACTAAAAAAAATTCAAATTTTTTTGGCAAATGATTTCTTTTCTTTTTCTTTTTTTTCTTTTTTTTTTTTTTGAGGCGGAGTCTCGCTCTGTCGCCCAGGCTGGAGTGCAGTGGCCGGATCTCAGCTCACTGCAAGCTCCGCCTCCCGGGTTCCCGCCATTCTCCTGCCTCAGCCTCCCGAGTAGCTGGGACTACAGGCGCCCGCCACCTCGCCCAGCTAGATTTTTGTATTTTTTAGTAGAGACGGGGTTTCACCGTGTTAGCCAGGATGGTCTTGATCTCCTGACCTCGTGATCCACCCGTCTCAGCCTCCCAAAGTGCTGGGATTACAGGCTTGAGCCACCGCGCCTGGCCTTTTTTTTTTTTTTTTTTTTGAGATGAAGTCTTGCTCTGTAGCCCAGGCTGGAATGCAGTGGTGCAATCTCGGCTTCCTGCAAGCTCTGCTTCCCGGGTTCATGCCATTCTCCTGCCTCAGCCTCCCTCCTGAGTAGCTGGGACTACAGCCTAATTTTTTGTAATTTTAACAGAGATGGAGTTTCACCGTGTTAGCCAGGATGATCTCGATCTCCTGACCTCGTGATACGCCCACCACAAATGAATTTTTGACATTTTTACTTTTAGGCTTGAAATTATTTTTAAGAATAGATAATACTTAAAGTAATTTGCTGCTGGAATCATCATAACATTTTGATGTCTGCTTTGTTTCCAATTATGTTCAAGCTCATTTTGACATTTAACTCCAATGACCTTATTCTGGATCCAGTAAGATTTTTCTATAGTAGTCTAAAATTTGAGGAATAAACAGGTTTAAAATAAAAAAGAACTAAACTTCCCTAACTGATAAGGGTGACCATGTGTAGAGTGGTTCTGAGAACAGTATGGTTCATGCTAAACATGAGTTTTCCTTCTAAGAGGGTAAAATTTGGCAGGTGCTAGGCAAAGAGTGCCTATGTGACCAGGCCCCAACAAAAACCTTGGCGTTGAGTCTGTAATAGGCTTCCCTTGACAGAAACATTGCATGTATGTTGCTGTATTTTTGTTGCTAAGGAAAGGGAGCTCTGTTACCATTCAGGAGAGGGAGAAAGCATAAGGAAACCTGCAGATGGGTTCCTCCAGACTCCACCTGTGTCTCTGTTTTATGATCTCACTATGTTCTCCTTACTATGCCTCTGTAATAGAGCTTAGCTGTGAGCACAACTGTATGTGAAGTCCTGTGACTCCTTCTGGCAAATCTCCAAACATGGGGTTGATGCTGGAGACCCCAAAACTGGCCCAAATTACAAATGACTTATATGTAAAGGTATAAATTATGGGGGTATTCCTACGATATGACACTATATAGCAATGAAAATAAACTACAGTCAAACGTAATAAGGACTAAACCTCACAAATGACGAAAGAGTCATTTATTGCATTTTGCCTTGTATGAAAGTTGTTCCTTTCATTATAGACTGACAAATTTTTTTAATTCATGTTTTGAGATAGGGTCTCACTCTGTCACCTAGGCTGGAAGTGCAGTGGTGCAAACACAGTTTTCCTGGGCCCAAGGAATCCTCCCACCTCAGCCTACTGAGTAGCTAGGACCATAGGCATGTGCCACTATACTCAGCTAACTTTTAAAAAATCGTTTTGTAGAGACAGTCTCACAATGTACCCAGGCTGGTCTTGAACTCCTGCATCCAAGCAATCCTCCCACCTTGGCTTCCCAAAGTGCTAGAATTACAGGCGTAAGCCACCACACCCAGCCTTAGACTAATAAATTTTTTAAGGCAGTAATTGTTAAACTGTTTGGTCTCAGAATTGCTCTAACTTATATGGATTACATTTGTTGACATTACCATATCAGAAATTAAAGTTGAGAATTTAATTAAAATAAAAAATAACTATATTGGTTCAGACTGAGGTGTGATTTTTAATATCTGTAATTTTCCAAAAGAAATGCAGTAAGAAGAATAGCACTGTTTTATCATTTTGTCAGTCTCTTTAATATGTAGCATAATAGAAAGTCTCTTTAATATCTAGCGTAATAGAAGCCAGCTGTATTCTGTCTACTTTTGCATTTAGTCTACTGCTATATTATGAAAATAGTTTTCACCTTCTGGATCTCCAGAAAGGATCCTGGAGAATCTTCGGGGTCCCTAGATTTACACTTAGAGAGCGGCAGCTTCAAGGATTAGTGCTGTGATTCATCTTTCTATCCCATATAAAGGGGTTAACATATACAAAGGAGCACAGAATGACCAGCCTGACAAGATAGGGAGATTCCGTCTCTACAAAAATATAAAAATTAGCTGGGCATGGTGGCATGCACATGTAGTCCCAACTACTCAGGAGGCTGCGGCAAGACAATTGCTTAAACCTGGAAGGTCAAGGCTGAAGTGAGCTGTGTTCGTACCATCTTCCTCCAGGCTAGGTGACAGAGTGAGACCCTGTCTCAAAAAAGAAAGAAAGACAAGAAAGGAAAGAAAGGAAAGAAAGGAAAGAAAGAAAGAGAGAGAGAGAGAGAGAGAGAGAGAGAGAGAGAGAGAGAGAGAGAAAGAAAGAAAGAAAGAAAGAAAGAAAGAAAGAAAGAAAGAAAGAAAGAAAGAAAACAACCTATATTTAAACAGTTTTATACAAGTTATTCAATAATTAGTCTAGTCTGCAGCGTTTGCCATATTACTATGGGTTTGAAAACGAGCAGAAATATCTAGAACTTCTCTGCTGGCTTTGGACCTGAACCACATACTCGGGCAGCTGAGAACAACAGTGAGGTTGTACTTACCACCAGTGCAAGAACAAGAGTCCGCACCTTCTCCCCAATCTCAGGGGAGATGTCATTTCCAAACTGTTGCAGAGTGGTAAGAAAGCGTTTCAACTTGCTGAGCTGTCGAGCACCACAGGTGGCTGGCAACTGCTGATTTGTGAGTGCAGATGATGTAGAGGAGGCAGGACCATTGCTGAATCTCTGTGGTGGTGATGGGGCGCCATTCAGGGTAGGAGGAGAATGGTTGATTCCATTGCTTACTAAAAGAGAGCCAAAATGAAAGACTCAGGTTACGTGCAAAACAAGGGGACATTTGTTCATTTTTTCTTGTTTGTGTTCTCCTTCATTTGTTCATTTGAATTTTGTAAAGTACATGTTATAAAAGTATGCAAAACTGGTTCTGTCCTCAATGAGATTGCTGTCAGATAAAAATGGTAACAGAGTAACAGTGGAGTGTTAAAAAGAAAGCAGAGTGCTCCGAGAGCAATAAGAAGAGACATCTAACTCTACAGGTGCCATGGGCAGGGGTGGGTAGTTTTAAGAAAGACTTCCTGCAACAGGTAGTGCTTGAGATGGGTCTGGGCCAATAGATCTTTCCAGTGACGGGATACTCATGCCCATCTTTTACATCGCATCTCCTTCCCAATTTCAAGGCCCCCAAAACACTAGGCAGTCAATCAGAAGGTAGTATGTGAGCAAGACACCAAAGAAAGTTATGATAATATGAGGGATATTTTTTAGGCCTACTGATTTAACGACTTATTCCTACAATAAGGTACCTATTTCTTTGGCCATCCAGAATACTCATGTCCATTAGAGCCAGTTACTGTCTGCCTTAATGGTGCTAGATTAATACTGCCAAACCCTCGGCCATTCAATAAAGCATCTTCCTGATTCCATGCAGGACACTCCCATCCTACATTTTTGCTCAAATTATACTACATGTGATTAATTACAGTTTTCCTATTTAGTTCTTAATAGTCATTTCTTGAAAATTTTAATTTGGAAAACAACCCTAGAGCTACGGTTTTGTTTTTTTGAGGCAGGGTCTCATTCTGTCATCCAAGCCGGAGTGCAGCGGCACTATCTTGGCCCATTGCAGCCTCGACCTCCTGGACTCAGGTGTCCTCCCACCTCAGCCTCCTGAGTTGCTGGGACTACAGTTACATGCCACCATGCACAGTTAATTTCTTTTTAAAAATTTTTTGTAGATAAGGGAGTCTCATTATATTGCCCAGGCTAGTCTCAAACTTCTGGGCTCAAGCGATCCTCCTGCCTTGGCCTCACAAAGGCTGGGATTACAGGCATGAGCCACTGTGCCTGGCATTGAGCTACGTTCATGTTGGCATTAAGTAAAAATCTAAATTATCTAGTACCTAAGTGTCATTCTGCTTTCACTTAATCATATCCAGCCTTAAAAAACTAAAATAGTGAAACTGTATCTAAAAACATAAGAAACAATTTAAGACATAAGCAATGTTTAAACAGCCAATCATTTAATCTTTACGTAGCTTAGAAAAATGACATTTAATCATATTTTGCCAAAAACAAACTTATTATCATAAAACATCTTCCACTTCCCTTTTACTTCCTCTAGGCCAGTCACAGTCAGTTAACTATCTCTGTTCCCTCTTCTTATACTGAACCTTATTCAAATTTGACTAGGCAAGCTCTTCTTCATCCCACACAGTTCAGGTATCACCTCTGTTAAGGAGCATTCCTTGACACATGCTGCTGCTGCTGCTCCACTTGAAGGTAACCTTAGTGGATTCACTACATCTCTCTGTGCTGCCTATGTGCATATGCATGCTTCCACTATTTTACTTTGAGACAGAGTCTTGCTCTGCTGCTCAGGCTGGAGTGCAGTGATATGATCTTGGCTCACTGCAACCTCCGTCTCCTGGGTTCAAGCGATTCTCCTTCCTCAGCCTCCCGAGTAGTTGGGATTATAGGTGTGCGCTACCACACCCAGCTAATTTTTTGTATTTTTAGTAGAGACAGGGTTTCACCACGTTGGCCAGGCTGGTCTCAAACTCCTGACCTCAAGTGATCTGCCCTCCTTGGCCTCCCAAAGTGTTAGGATTACAGGAGTGAGCCACTGCGCCTGGCCTATGCTTGTTTATTTCTATATTTGTGTTGCCTTAATAGATGTTCACTTATTAATAATACAATACACAAAACATACGTGCACACTTAAGTTTTATAAGCTGTGTAAACAGTGTATACTTTTGCTTTGTTCATTTGCTAGCAAAGGGTTAAGTGTTTAGGAAAATGCTACTGAATGATTCACGCATAAAAGACTAACAGCCTGAGAAAAGGGGTGAATTTTCTTTTGTCTTCCACTAAAGGAAATTAGTAAAGCTACAGAAAGGAAAGTTGAACACTCAATCCAGAAAATTAGTTCCAATAGTCTGCCATTTCTTTGTTTTCACAGAAAGGTCAACTGCCATAGGAAAGTTGCTCCCTTTTGAAGGAACCAATAAAAATAACACATTACCATGCATTTAGCTACTCTGATGTATAGAAAGGCTTTTTCTTAGTCTCTTCAGTAAAAAATGTATGATCACATTTTCTGAAATGAAACACAACCACTGCCAAGCAGCCAAATATGGAAGCAAAAAGGGCTGAATTTGCATATACATATATCTATTGGTGTATCCTGAAATCTGATTGATGGCTGAGGTTTAAATCTGTTTCTTTTCAAGATAGTATGTATGTCTTCGGCTGTTTAACAGATAGTAGAATTTAAGAAAAGGGATATCATACTTCTTTTCATTCACTCTGGCTCAAACTGAATGCTGCAGTTACCAGCTACTCAATTCAAATGTTTTGGGAAAATAATAAACTTCCAATTAAAGCTGTACATCTTACATTCTCTTCTCTTGCCTTTTAAAACAATAAACACCCAAACCAAAAAATTTTGAGCAAGGACAGTGTGCAAGCTTGTATAATGGTATTTAAATGAAACAATACATACAGCATTTAGCTCAGTGCTCTAACACTCTTTGGGCATTCCAAAAATAGCAGTACATTTTGGTTTACAGGCAAAAGATGTGCAGAGTGTCAAAGTGAACTGGGGGTGGCAGCATGTGCATGGAAAGGCAGAACTCAAATGAAGATCAACACACTTGTGTGCATGTATGCACAAGTTTATTTGGGGTTCTTTTGGTGATTATAGATACATAGGACTGAAATTGTTGAGTTACAGGGCACGTGGAAATTTGGCATTAGTGCAAACTGCCAAACAATTTCCAAAAGATGTACTAAATTACACTCCAACCAGCATTGTATGAGTATTCAAGTTACATCCTCATCAAAACTTGGTATCATTTTGAACATCCTGGTGGGTGTATAATGGTACTGTATTGGGTGTTAGTTTGCATTTCCTTGATGGTTAGTGAAGTTGAATATCTTGTTACATATATTATTAGCTAACATAATGGTTATGGACTGAATTCTGCCTGAGCCTTGGCCAAATTCATACATTTAAGTCTTACCCCCTTGTACCTCAGAATATGACTGTATTTGGAGATAGAGACTTTGAAAAATTCATTAAGGTTAAAAGAGGTATTACAAATAGTCCCTAATCCAATACGATTATTATCCTTAAAGGCAGGGAAGAGACACCAGGGACACGCACAAATGGAGGAATGGCCATGTGAGGATATCGCAAGCAAGAAGGCAACCTTCTACAAGGCCCAGGTAAAACCAAACCTGCCAACACCTTGATCTTTACATTCTTGACTCCAGAACTGTAAAAAAGTTAATAAAAATAAAAAGTTAATTAAAAGTTAATAAAAATAAATAAAAAGTTAATAAAAATAAATCCAGTCTGTGGTATTTCATTATGGTAGCCCTAGTAAACGAATACAACAATATTCTCTTTTGTAAAAAGTCTTACCATGACAGCATTGGAACATTTTTCGAATTCCATAATTTTAGGAAACTTACTTTGAATCTCATATTGCAATATAATAATTTAAATTCACTATTGTTAGAGTCAAAGAAATAAAAAGTTACCAGCCAAAGAATATGAAAACAAAATATTTAAAAAACTAAATATCCAAATAAACTAAGTATTATTCTCAGAGGGTATAAGTAATTTAGAAAAGAAACAACCAGAAATATATATCTGTGTCTATATTTTCATAGCACTTTGAAAATATTGAATAATATATGTGGAAGGCTTCATGCAAGTCAGTCACTTAGATCCAAATGTCACTCTAAACTACAAACATAAGTAACTAAGAGGTCTCACATGCAGTAGGAGTAAAGGACACTGGTCTCGGTCCTCCAGGATTTATTGGTGGGAGGGGTGGCATGGTGGGAGGTGAGGATCTGGACTGTATCTTCACTTCCACAGGCGATCCAGGCATTGCTGGCACCCTTTTCTCAGGACCAACTGCAGAGAATCAGAGAAATGGAGGTTAGGGTTTTCTAAAAGGTTGCAGAAACAGACAACAATTTGAAATACCAACATATTTCCCTAGAGGACTGATTAGTATAATAGGCTGAATAGTGACCCCCTAAAAGATATGTCCACGTCCTAACATCTGGAACTGTGAATGTTACCTGATTTGGCAAAAGGGTCTTTGAAGATATCATTAAGTTAAAATTCTTGAGAGGAGGAGATCATCCTAGATTGTCTGAGTGGGCTCTAAATCCAATCTGAATTGTGTCCCTAAAGAAGGGACATGACACAGACACAGAGACGTATACAGAGGGAAGCCGATGTGAGGACAGTCACGCCAAGTGGCGACAGAGGCAGGGACTGGAGTGACACATCTATACACCGAGGAGTGCCAAGGAGTGCCAGTAACCAGCAAGCCAGGAGGGAGCAGGAGACACATTTGTCCTCTGAAACCCCGGGAAGGAATCAACCTTGCTGATACCTCAATTTTGGGCTTCTGGCTTTCTGAACTGTGAGAGAATAAATTTCTATTGTCTTAAGCCACTCAGTTTGTGGCACTTTGTTACTTCAATTCTAGGAACTAAAACGAGGAAACAAGGTCAAGAGGTGACATGAACTGAAAGTTAGCAGTCTCTAGATAGTGGCTGAGAAAGGAAGAAACCAGGTTACAAATATAGTTTACCTCAAATGCATTTTTTTTTAAACTTCTCCTTATAAATGAATCAAATTATGAGGGGGAAAAAGCTAATTTAAAAAGCTAAAAAACTATCTAGACTTAGGCCTCAACTGCATGACATGAAAAGAAAATCACAATCAGTTGTATATAAATCAATTATTAATAGGCTTGGTGCAGTGACTCATGCATGTAATCCTAGCACTTTGGGAGGCTGAGGTGGGTGGATCACCTAAGGTCAGGAGATCAGCCTGGCCAACGGGGTGAAACCCTGTCTTTACTAAAAATATAAAAATTAGCTGGGTGTAGTGGTGGGTGCCTGTAATCCCAGTTACTGGGGAGGTTGAAGCAGGAGAATTGCTTGAACCTGGGAGGCAGAGGTTGCAGTGAGCCAAAATCATGGCACTGTACTCTAGCCTTGCGACAGAGCAAGACTCCGTCTTAAAAAAAAAAACAACCACCATTAATAATGATGTACTAAATTATATATATATACACATATCAACTACATCAAGTAGGATAAAAGAGGGAGTCAACTTCTCTGACCTCAAACATGTAAATGTCATTTATGCTATATATTGTTCAAAAAGACGAAAAGTAGAGCTGATTCTACATTAAGCAGAGGCTACTTCATCTATGGGAACAATTAATAATAGGCAGCTGTTTGATAATACTAAATGGCAACAAAATTCCAGAAAGATAAATTAGATAAACTTCATGATGCTACAATTAGGTAGGTCTGAGCTAACAGGAATCAGACTCGATACCAATGAGTAATAGTCTAACATATCTAAGAAGTTATTTTTCCCTATCAAAGAGAACTTGCTACACACTTGGTTAATAGGACCAGGGTTACCATAATCACCTTTAAATTGAGCTATGTTCCTCACAGTAATTCTAAGCTTTTCACTTAAGTACCAGGCATTCATTCTCCAATAACTGCTGAATTCAAATTCAAGTGCAAAAAATGGGCAGCAAAGGCTCAAATGAGAAGGTTAAGTCCAAGTTTTCTTTCTGTGATAGCACAGCTATAAAGACAATACCTACAAGAGTGGTCACGATCCTGGCAACAAGGAACATTTTTGTGCATTGATGGGACACTTTTTAATAAGAAAAGTATCTCCAAATACTATTTTTTATGCTTCAGTTTGCAGTGGCCACACTTTGGAAAGGGATATAATAAAGTCAATCAAGAAAGCAATGCCCCCAAGTTACAAATCCCCTGACAAAAATGTGCAGTTCTCAGAACCATGTGGGCAACACTGTGCCAGCCCTTCCCATCTCTCTGTTCAGGACATTTTCTTTGTGAAATTGATGGTCGTCCTGTCTGATTAGTGGACTAATGAGCTATTGCGCTTGCCTTTTCTTCCTGACAGTATTTTCTCAATGCCCTTCAGAGAACAGCTGACACATTTCCAGCTCTTCCATCTGGGCCCCAGCTTTCTGGAAGGGTAGGGGAGAAGGAAAGGAAGGAACTGACAGTTGTCTCGCACTGTAATGTGTTGTGTACAGTGTGCAACAACCTAGAGGGAGCCTTTCTTCAGACCACCTGGCTCTATAGCAAGGGTGCCAAAGGCTTGAGGAAGGCTTAGCAGTGAGATGAGTTTTAACATTCAGCACTTGGCAGAATAAAAAAGTTAGAGCAGTCCAACTGCAGAACGCTGAACTCTGTGCTCTAACCAACCAAAAGCTTCGACAGTGGGCCAAACCCAGCCACTAAAGAACTGTTTACAGATTGATACTTTTCATTTCACCACCCAAAATCTACAACACTAGTGTTTTCTTCATGTTTCAAGTGAATGAAGCAGAAAAAGCACAGGTATGAAAAGACTGAGAGATTTGGTTTGAATTCTCATTCTGTTACAACGCAATTGAATTTCCAATTCATTTCACCTTTCTAGGCCTCATTTTCAACATATGTAAAATGAATGACAGTAAGACCTACCTGTCAAGAAACATGTAATGATTAAAGATGATGCCTAAATCACTGCAAGGGATAAAGAAGGTGCTTAATAAACAGGAATGATGATTAGAAGACAGAAATCCTCGTGTCAAATTCTGGACATACTATTAACTAGGTATGTGACCTTGACCAAGTTAACATTAACATCTGTTTTCTGTGGAAAATAGGTATACTATCAACAATTTATCCATGTAACCTCAGAGATATTATATGGAATGATCCAAGAATTAACAGCTGCAAAATCACCAAGCACAATGTAAAGTGGTATTTTTGTTGGAAGCTGGGTGGCATGAACGCCCTTCACGTGGTTTACAAGTGGTATCCAAGTGGTTTACAAGGTGACAAATTCAGCAGTTGCTCAGATGATGGGAAAAGGCATGTTCCAAAGTAGGCATTTTAACCCTTTGCTTGGGGTCACAGTAGGATCATAGTAAGTTCCTGTAGGAAGAAGGCTATGACATGCCTTCATGTCATCTTAGTAATGGTGACTTCCTTTTTGAATTTTTATGAAACTGATAGTTATGTGTTACATTCTAACTGGATCCCATGAAAGAATCAACCATATATTGAACTCTTTTCAATCTTGGAGAAGCTTAGATACAGTTCAAGAAGAAGAAAATTCTTTTCCCTCAATTGTGGCTTGAGTCCATAAACACTATTGCTTAAAATATCAAACAGCCATAAAGATTTAGTCCCAGGAAGTCAAAATAAACCTTGGTTTTGCCATAAGGGTCCAACTCAATTATAATTTCAAAGTAACTGACAATTTAGTCACCCCATGAGTTTGTCTTTTGATTATTCTGAACATATTTGTACATGTGTGTGTATTACAAATAAATGCATGTGTGCATATATATGTGTGTATATATTAAAAAATAAAACCCAGATATTACAACATGTACCTCTAAAATGACTTATGGTTCAACACCTAAACCATGGGAAGCCAAAGAATTTGATGAGTCAAAACAGGAAAGTATGTCTGAATAATTTCTTCACTGTGCGCGACTTGCTAAGGATATCGTGAAAACAGAAAACAGATGAAAGAATAAAGTAATAAACAGTTATCTGTGTGATAGCAGTGATATTTTTTCCTACATAGGAATTTAAAGAATCAAAGATTAAACTAAAGAGTAGAACTATTCTATAGCTCCCCAGGAAAGTAACAGAACACCCAGCACTCTCCCTCTTATCTGCAGTTTCAGTTTCCACAGTTTCAATTACCTACTGTCAACCAAGATCCAAAAACATTAAGTGGAAAACTTCAGAAATAAACAATTCATAAGTTTTAAATTGAGCACCGCACTGAATACTGTGATGAAATCTCACACCATCCCACCTAGGATGTGAATTATCCCTTTGTCTGGAGTATACACTATCCGACCATAAGTCGCTTAGTAGCCGTCTTGGTTACCATCAGATGAACTGTCATGGTGTTGCAGTGCTTGTGGTCAAGTAACCCTGATATTACTTAATGGCCCCAAAGTAAAAGAGGAGTGATGTTGGCAATTTGGATACACCAAAGTGAAGCTATAAAGTACTAAGTGAAAAGGTGGAAGTTCTTGACTTCATAAGGAAAGAAAAATTCCTATGCTGAGGTTGCTGACATCTACTGTAAGAAGGAAAAAGACGTTTGTGCTCGTTTTGCTGCTGCATCTCAAACAGCAAACGTTACAGCCATAGTGCATGATATGGGTTCAGTTACAGTTCAAAAAGAATGTATGTAGGGTTCAATACTTCCCATGGTTTCAGGCATCCACTGGGGGTCTTGGAATGTATTCCCTGTGGGTAAGGGGGAACCACTGTATTACTGAGACATCTCAGAAACATGCTATTTGAGAAGAATCTTCTATGATAAATTGTCCACAAACAAGGGCATTTACAAATCATTATAAACTGCTTTTTTTTTTTTTTTTAAATTAGAGACTGGCAAAGAGCAGAGGTATAAATACAAGATAAAATATAATGAGGTTATCTGAAGGGAAAGGCTACTCCTAAGTGACTGGAAAGAAGAAAACCATAGGTCTCAAGGAGAAAGCATGTTGAGGCAAAAGGTAAGCCTGATGTGAAGAATGCTCCATCACTCACTAGTTATGTGACAGTGATTTTCTTTATCTGTCCCTGGGGATAATTCAACATAAGGTTATATGAAGGGTACCATAATGGATATAACAATGATGGGTATACAGCAGATACTCTCACATGTTTTACTTGAATCAGATTTTAAAATATATTAGAATTATGGTTGGGCACAATGGCTCAGGCCTGTAATCCACACCACCTTGAGACAGGAGAATTGCAGGACACGAGGATTGCTTGAGCCCAGGAGTTTAAGAACAGGCTGGCCAACACAGGGAG